TAAAAACGGTTATTTTTTACAGAGACGTTGCTGCATTTCCAGCCATGATTGTGCCATGAAAAGCGGTTGTTTTTTACTGTGACTACACTCCATTTTATGCCGGGATAGTGGCACAAAAAGCAGTTGATTTTTATCGAAAAAACATTTCCACCGGGTAAAGTGCCATGTACAGTAACATGGATGTTTTTCACTGCGACATCGCTGCCATGAAAAGAAGTTGTTTTTTAACGTAACATTGCTGCATTTCCAGCTGAAATAGTGGCACGAACAACGGTTGTTAGTTACCGAGACATTAGTGAGTTTCCTGCTGGCATAGTGCCATGAAAAGCAGTTATTTTTCACTGACGTATCGCTGCGTTTCCAGTGGAGATATTTCCACGAAAAGCAGGTGTTTTTTATTGTGATGTCACTGCATTTCCACCGGGCAAAGTGCCACATAATGTGGTTGTTTTTAACTATGACATCACTCCATTTCTTGCCTGGATCGTGGCACGAAAAGCGGTTGTTTTTTACTGAGACGTTACTGCATTTCCAGCGAGATATTTCCATATAAAGCAGTTGTTTTGTATCAAGACGTCACTGCATTTCCAGCGGGGATTGTGCCATGAAAGGTGACTGTTCTTTATCGAGATATCGCTTTGTTTCCAGCTGGTTTTGTGCCACCAAAATATAATTTTTTGTAACCATAACTAAGTGTTTTTTTGTGCCTAAACCTGACTACATATCAACCACAGTGTTGTTGAAATATAAAGAAATATAAAATTTCAACACATCTGCCATTAATTCCATACAAATGCAACTTATCTGTGATTTGCAGAGACACACAATGCCAACATTTATTCTGGCAACTGAGTTGATATTTTACCTGCATCCCAGTGTGACCCAAACTACTCACAGTGCTCCCAAAAAACATCACCATTGTTCTGATATTCCATTGAGCGTGACTCCTCTATTTTCATCTGCAAACAATGTCTTTGTGTTTGGTCTATTGATCCAGTATCACTGCTGTCTCCTCACTATAAATAGTCTGGCATTGATTGTAGGATTTATTCATGTGTTATTCATTCTACGCAGCTGAGAGGCTTCATGATGGTTGTTTTGAAGGTTTTCCAGCTCAAATAAATGGTCGCAAAAATAAAAAAGAGCAAGAGAACAACTTTGTGGTGTCTGTCAAGGTTACCTGGACACATTTAATTAATTAAAAAGCTTGTTATCAGTCAGGTAGTAAATCATGACTCAAAATATTTGCTTCTTAAATCCTCTTTGCATATTCTCTTTTGTCATGTTTGGAGTTTTTGCATGAATCAAACCGTCTTTGAAAAAGCAGCGTTGTGATCATGCACGGCCTAAATGCTGCTTCAAAGGCTTTTCAGCTCCGAGAAGAATAAAACTTTGCTGTATCCTTGAATTTTTCTGGACTTAAAAACTGTAAAATTGAAAGAAAAGTGAGTGCTGCCAGTGGCACCACCGGCCTTCAAACACCCAAATGTGTTTATGTAGAATATTGTGTCCAACCGTGTGGACCTTACCTTGAATCTCAGAGCATCCCGGGCGACAGCTGATGTAGCGGTCGTCTTCAGACGCTCACCTTGTCCCCAGCAGGACCATCAAATCTTAAAAGGCGACTGTATGTGTGTGTGTGTGTGTATACAACCATCCAAATACACAATCAGCATGTAGCTTGGCACGTACCCTTCCTGGCTGCTTTCACATTTTAAAAAGCGATTCTATACGAGGGAATGAAACCGAAAGAAAAGAGAAAAACATCTTGGAAAAAATAAAATCCTGAGCTGCAGACATGTTGTTGAATTACGGGCCACACATGGACAATAATAGAGGTGTAATATTATCTATCCATGGGTAGGATCCACAGACTGAGGGCAGTTTATTGTATGCCTTGCCTCAACCTCACAATCAATATTTAATAACAGACTTGGTGGACTGGTGCAGTGATGAAAGGAAAAGATGCCCTAATGTGCCAGAGAGCACATAATGTACAGCACCGTGGATATTTGTAGTGTGAAGTTATAAAGATAAAAATTTTAGAGCGTTGCAGGTTGCAGCTTTGGTTTAAAGTCGGGCAGTCTGCAGGGGTTCTTCTATATTAGAAAAACACTGAATGTCAGTTTATTCTCTGAAGAAGCAGCCAGTCTTGTCCACATATTCCCATTTTTGAAGATTTTTGAGCACTACAATCATTTCTCTGAGCAAAAGCACCACTTTTTATTCAAACACACGTCAAACCCTTCTTGATTTCTGTGAATGAAAGGTGAAAACTTTGACCTTTGACTTCTCTTTCCTCTCTTCTCTCTACTGGGGATGCAGTTGTGACGGTGAGACAGTACGGGAGTGGATCTGACACAAAGTGGACATACAGTGGACAGGCCTCGCCCAGGACAGCGGACAGCACAGGAGGGAGGACAGCGTGGGGACCGAACCCCTGATGAGGAGCCAGTAAAAACAGCTCCCCGATCAGAGGCGGCCCCCTTATTGGAAGCATCGGCCAATTCCAGTGTGAGCTGAGCTTTTGTCACAACAGCTGGGAGAGAAAATTGTGAGCGAACTTTGGAAAAATAAAAATGTTTGCATTTCTAAAGTGTATCAAAGAGAGTAAATGAGGCTTTGTAAATCACAAAGAATGAAAAGAAAAATGCAGCAGTTGAAGGTATAATTCGACATTTTGGGAAATATTCAAAGATACAGCCAGCGGACAGCTAGCTTAGCTTAGCATAAATACCCGAAACAGGGAAATAGATAAACTAGCTCGATCCAAAGGTAGCAAAATCAGCCTACAAGCACCTGTAAAGCTCACTGATTAACACTATCTTGTTTATTTAATTCGTACATTCGGAATATCTGCTGGTTGCCTAGCAACCTCACAGTGATAAAGGGACAACAGCAGCTTTTTTTTCAACGTCTTACACTGGTTGTCACCTATATGCTTGTATCCAACCCAACAATGACAACAAAGTCGTTTTGCAGGTGTTCTTAACGGTATTTTAGAGTGTGTCACTTCCTGGACGACTCATCCACTCTGGGGTGTATGCTAACTCTGCGTCCGAGAAAACTCTTATGTCCCTCATACATGACTGTAAATTCTACGAGTTATTGACCAATGTATAGGACCCAGTCAAACTTGAAACAAATCGGCTATCGGTTTAATGATAAGCCTCTGGAAGTGAGGGCTAAAATTTTGGGCTAATCCAGATGTAGCTAATATAAGAGCCAAGACTTCCTCTTATGTGTCCCAGTCATTTCGGCTAATCTCAATAAACAGATATCTGCAGATAAATTTAAAAATAAGTCAGACTTGTCGTCACATGAAAGCTGAAGGTTTCCGAGATTGCCTTTTTCGCCAACACATTCCGCCTCTCCACTAGGACTGTTTACCTGCCATTCAAACGCAACTGGTCGATACTACTTGGACTACTAACGGAAACCAGAACATTTGCCACACCAAATCTTGCCCCTTGGGTCGTCATTGTGTTTTTGGTTGTGCTAACTCCTAGGTCATCATAGTAGAGCGCCCACCCTCTCTCTGGCCCTTCCTTAGCTCTGTCAGTACTGTTGTTCTATTGGCTACCTAGACAAGTCCCTCCCAAGCAAATTCATTATATTTTTGAGGGTTTACCATTCTATTATTAGTAGCTACTTATTTGATCTTTTTTACCACTTCTGTCTTGTACCATGTGGCTCAGGTAGATGCTTTGCTGTTTCGTTGTATTTATAAAAAATAATTGAACTTCCTGTTTTTACAGGAAATGCACATATATGCAGAATCACATAGCACTTAGCTAGGGAACAACAACGGGACACTGTCGTGAATAAATGAGAGTAAATGTAGCAATAATGCACTTTATAATTCATAACAAATGAAGACGTGATTCACTTTACAAGTAAGGAAATGTAGCCTTCCCATTACCCTTATTGTGACCATAACCGCCTCTCTTTTAACGTAATACTCTAAAGCTAGCTAATCATTAAGTTAGCATCAACATAACTTATGACATGTAGCTTTCCCATTACCCTTACCTTGACCTTAACTGCCTTTCTTTTAATGTAATACTTCATAGCTAGCTAATCGCTAAGTTAGCATTAGCATCAGTAACAAACGTAGCCTTCCCATTACCCTTACTTAACCATAACCGCCTCTCTTTTAACATAATACTTCATAGCAAGCTAATCGCTAAGTTAACATCTGCATAAGTAACAAAATGCAGCCTTTCCATTACACTTATCCTAACCTCAACCACTTCTCTTTTAACGTAAAATTTCATAGCTAGCTGATCACTAAGTTACCATTAGCATACAAGATGTAGCCCTCCAATTACAAGTACCCTAACCTCAACCGCCTGTCTTTAAGTGCAATACTTCATAGCTAATTAAACGCTAACTTAGCGCTTTTGTCGGGACTTCCGCTTCCGGGCCAAGGAGCAAAGGGGGCTGATCGTGGACTGGCGTGTGGGTACGGTGGGATGGTCATGTAGCTAGAGGGTGGGTCACGTAGCTGCCATAGCTGCAGTTACAGCTATTTGGGTGTTCCTCGGTACAGGTACAAATCTAAATCTTGTTAAAAGCATATTTCCCAAAATGGCAAAATATTCCTCCAAGCTAAGAAACAAACAAAAAATAACATTAATCTTGTCTGCACCCAGCTAATGTGCTTACGTTACATTTTGGTTGAGGACCTACTTTTTTGACATATTTCTCGACTGTCACGCGGCGACTTGGGCTACACAGTAATATACATACAAACACTTCGATGTATATTTACTATGTTTAGTGAGAACAGCATAGTGAGTTGTCACTGGGGATGGAGTCAACTTTACTATGTGGTAAAAAAACAAAAATGTGAAGACGAGGGGAGAGGAAAGAAATGAGAGAGGAGAGTATGAAAGAAGGGAGAAAGAGAGAAACGGGAGCGAATGGCGGGGGGAGAGGTCGTGAAACAGTACAACATCAGACAGCCACTGGAACATAACAACACAGAGAGAGACAAGTATTAGGAAAAATGGTTTAATATAGGAGACAGAAGCAAAAAACTGCATCACACAAGAACATACGTTTACAAAAATAATTCTGACTGCTTCAGCTACACAGTTAGTTCACAGAGAAGGACAGAGAAACCGGAAAAATCTAAACAGCTAAAAGCAAAAAAGTTTCTAATTAGTTGATCTCTTTATTAAACTAATACATTAATCCACTGAAGGTGACTAAATATTTCTATTCCTTCTTTTTCTATAATTGTCTTATCGTGTAGACGGCACAATACAGAAGTCAAATGAAACTTACCGCTGTTGTATAGACAAACTTGCTAGAACTATTTAAAAAGCAAAAAATGAAAGATCTGACACTCACCTATCCTCTGTTTTCGGAAAAAATTAAAGAAAGAACGAAAGGAAGGCAGAAAGAAACACTCAAGTGAGGAAAAAGAAGTGAAAGAAATAAAGCCAAAGATCTCCTAGAAAATCTTATATCAAAAGCCAACTTCCTTGTTGCCAGCTAGAAATCATACTCGGGGACCAGTCAGGGTCAGGCCACACCACCAGGCCAGACAGCTTTTTTTCTAAGATTTTTTTGTTGTATCCTTTAATCTCCAGTATAAAAAATTCCACTGGTACAAAATGCATAAGTACAATCAGTTGTAGAAATAGGAAAGCCTGCATTTTTTGTACTTTTTAAATCCCATCCAGTGACAGATTTCGAAGTGTTGTCAAACAAACATACATCACGCTTACAGGATCCACTGAAATGCATTGACTTTGGCTTCTCTCAAGACAATAACTCTGAAACTACTGAAAACCTCTTTGAGAATTAAAAGAAAACAAAAGAACAACAACAAAATTAAAAAATAAATTTGGATAATTTCTACAGACAACAAGCTTCTTTTTTTTTACGGCACGGAAAGAGAGAACACACAAAACATTTTTCCTCAAAAAACTTGACATAAGCCATAATGCAAAGAAACGACAAGTTCAATTTTTTTTTTCCTTTCAGATTTCATTGTTTGATAAATAGCACTTAAGATAATTAAGAAAGAAGGAGAACAGAGAAGTGAACAGTGACGAGATAGAAAGATTACAACGAGCATCGGCGATGACAGCCCCTGAGGTGAGCCGCTCAACAGGTACTCTGCCCCTACGACCCTCTTGTGCTTCGACATTGAAACAGAGACAAGATGCTTCACGCTGGACCGTGCGACGTCAGGCTGTGTGCAACTCGGTGAGATTTGGCAACATAGTTTTTGGGACACACACACACAGCCGTGTAAAGTAGTGGGCCGTGACTCGACTAGAACAGCACAGATTATGTAGCCTCCACACTTAACGAAGAAAAAGTTACGCGAATTGTGCGAGAGTGAGGTGACAATGTGAAATGTGCAATTCTCGGATACAAAGGTTTTGCAGCGGTTGCGACGTGAAACCTGCACACGTGCTGGTCAGAAAAGTGGTCCGTTAACACTGATTGGACTGGGACCTCCTGCCCAGCTTTCATACAGGTAGTTATGGCTGTTTGTGCAACCCAATCGCCAGAATCAATGTTGGCTTTGTACGTTTTTTTTTGCAAACCATGGATATGTTACATTTGTACATATTTATGTAGCAGATACTTTTAAACTTTACGTGTCTTTACATTCCAGTAACGCTGTGGTTAACGTGGTTGGATTTAGGCGCAAAAACCACTTGGTTATGTTTCCGAAAAGATCAGGTTTTGGCTTAAAATCCACACCTTGCTGGAAATGCAGCCATGTCTTCGGAAAAAACACCTGCTTTTCATTACACTATCTTTGCTGGAAACTTGGCAATTTCTTGATGTAAAACAACCACTTTTCGTCGCACTAACCCAGCTGGAAATGCAGCCATGTCTTGTTAAAAAACAACCGTTTTTCATCGTAATATAGCGGCTGGCAACACAGTGACGTCTTGATTAAATATAACCACTTTTCCTTGCACTAGCCTGGCTGGAAACGCAGCTATCTCTTGATTAACAACAATCACTTTTCATCGCACTTGTCTGACTGAAAATGCAGCAATGTCTCGATAACAGCTAACCACTTTTTTTTGCACTATCCAGCCTGCAAATGCAGTGATTTCTAAACAAAAACAAAAACTGCTAAACGTTGTACTATCCTGGCTGGAAACGCACTGACATCTCAATAAAAAAACAACTGCTTGTTGTTTAAAGGCAGCTATGTCTTTTTAAAAAACAACCGCTTTTCGTTGCACTATCCTCACCTGAAAGGCAGTGACATCCTGATTAAAAACAATCTTAGTCGCACTAGCCTGGCTGGAAATGCAGTGATGTCTCAGTTAAAAAAACACAACCAACCAATTGTTGTCACACTGTCCCAGCTGGAAACACAGTGATGTCTTGATTAAAACCAAACACTTTTCGTTGCACTTTCCGGGCTGGAAATGCAGTGATGTCTCCATAAAAAACAACCATTTGTTTTCACACTATTCCAGCTGGAAGCTCAGCTATGTCTTGTTAAAAAACAACTGCTTTTTGTTGCAATACCTGCACTGGAAATGCAGTGAAGTCTCAATCAAAAACAACTGTTTAACATTGCACAATCCCAACTGGAAAGGCAGTGATGTCTCAGTGAAAACAACTGCTTGTTGTCGCACTATTCCAGCTGGAAACGCAGCTGTGTCTTGTTAAAACCCAACCGCTTTTCGGTGGCTTATCCCTGCTGGAAATGCAGTGATGTCTTGACAAAAACAACAGCTTTTTCTTGTACTTCCCAGGCTGAAAACATAACCATGTCTCATTAAAAACCATCCACTCTTCATGGCACTAACCCCGGGGGAAACACAGCGACTGGTCACTGAACAGCACCCACATCTGAAAATGCAGCAATGACTCACTCATTGGTCTCTAACAGTGGTCTGCAGCTGTGCAGGTGTCTTGCCTGGGTGTCACACCATGCACCATCCCCTCCAAGTCATGATCACAACGTCAACTCATACATTACTTCACTTTAACAACGCCAACTAAGCAAATGTAACACATCCATGGTTCTCAGAGATGTACAACTCCAACATGTTCTTGTGGCGACTGGGCTGGTTTGTGGCACTGCTCATGTGTGTACTGCATTTAGGAAATAAAGTCTGCTCGCCTCCCTCCATGAGATCACATAAAGTTTGGTATTGGGTTTGGTCTTTGAGAGGATAATGAAAGCTGTATTGCCTTCATCTTGGCTGTGGCTGTTGTTCTGCCTGTGTGGACCTGCGGACGTGACCCTTTCCTCTCCAACCAACAAGCGCTTTATTTCCCCTGTCGCTATTCCAATAAGACGTCTCTGCACACAGCCCTGTTTCTAATAACCCCAGTTAGCCTGGGAGACAACAACCAGACGGAGAGCGGCATCCTTCAAACAGGCGCCTCGTTTCCTCTCCTCCTCCACCGCTGCGAGGACAAACGGCCATTTCAGCCTCTCTGCTCCGTCCGACCGGACGAAATGGCGGAAGAGCAAAACCCAGACTCTGACAAGTGGGAGGTTAACTGTACACAAAAGTGAACCTGGACTTGGCACACATCACTGACTGACTGACTGACTGACTGACAACATCTTCTACTCTTATAATACTGGTACGACGCTCCCTGGTTAAGGCGACTGGTGAGCTTCTGTAGAAAATAATGCTGCCTTTTTTTTTTGCAGACCGTAAACTAGGCTTTCAGGGAGGGGGTGTCGGGGGCAGTTGAAGAGACTGACAACACTGTGCCATGTAAACGGCTCGACTATGAGAATGTCAGTAACACACTTTGGCATCTAAACATGATTTTGGCCCATTACACCACAAGACTCACGTATGGAGAAGTCTTACAAAAGAGACGTCAAAGGATAAGTCGAGAAATCAAACGAGTAAAAAAACTTGCTCCGGACCGTCCCGCCTCTCTCCTTTGACTATCTGACGGCGGCGTGTGCTTTTTTTTTTTCCCTCAAGAGATCGAGGCTCGTTTGTGAGTGAGCGAGTCTTGCCCTGTGCTTACATCATGAAAGCGAGCGTCTGAGGTGATACACAAAAGTAATGATCCCCGCCGTCTGAGACAAACGGCGCCCAGCTACAACTCAGAGATGTTTTTGAACAAAAGGGATAAGAGGATTTTGGAGAAATAAGGCTTCGCGTATGACTATCACCTCAATTTTTTTCCTCGGCTGAGGAGCGGGACAGCGTGCGAGGGAGACAATCAAAACAATACATGCCGAAGCCTGATGTCTGTGCGCGCCAGATACTAATAGAGAGAACAGGAGTGCAAAGATTTGTGGTAAGGCTTTGATGAATAAAAACGGCTGTACAATGGCTAAAAATATCAGTGCGTGATTCTGGTGTGTGTGTGTTTTTTTAAAGTGTGTGTGTGCACGCTGGCGGGCGGTAGCGGTTGCTGTAGAGGCTTTCACACTCAGGGGCTCTCACGCACAACAAGAAAGTAAACTGTGAGGTCTGCACGAGTATGTGTGTGTGCGTGTGTGAGTGTGTGCGTGTCCGTGTGTGCGTGTATATAGATATATATATATGACACATGGGCACTTTTTTTTTTGTTTGTTTGTTTTGTTTTTTTACATCTTTACAAAGAAAAAAAGCAAACATGACATTTTCAGGCAACAAGACCACAGAATAGCAAGTTAACAAACTCTTTTTTAAATCTATATTTTAAATATGAGGGATCCATACAAAACACTTATAATAAAATACCCATGTTATCAAATAATTTCACAAGAAATACACTGACGCGCTAGGCAGGAAGTACCTTCAGAATTTGGCACTAAACTCCACTGATCTTGTCTTTTTTTCTTTATAAGACATTTTGCTGAACAACAAAACACATCTAAATATTGTTTCCCACGAGAGAAATAAAATAATAATGACATTGATGCTTCACAAGCTGACATTATATATATATAGATATATTTATATTTATATATATTTTTAGGAATTTTATATAGCTAATTAACCAACAAGAAATTTAGCAAATAGGGACTCCTTAAAAATAAAAAAAGAGGAAATAAAAAGAAAAGAAACAACAAAGTAACTATTATAGTAATATGAAAGGCTTTGTCTATTGTTCAAGTAAACTGATTTTTTAGTCTTCTCTTGAAAAACATGAGACATTTAAGACCGTTAGACTTGTGATGAAACCACAACTAAACTCACGAGAAGCACCGACGTTAACGCAGGTTACAGGTATCTTAGTATTTTTTTTTCCTCTATACATTTAAACAGTAGAAAATATAGGTCATTTCATCATGTGCATTTAAACCACGGATTGTCTATCTGTGAGTCAGTTCAGCAAAAGGTGACACAAGTAGGTAGCATTTCTCCCACCCAAACAGGGCAAATGTCTTTTTTTATTTTTACCTTTAAACTACTCTAGAAAAAAGTGGTTCTATATATAGACTTTGAATGAGAAACAGAGCCACTTAAAATGGCCTTATCAAAAAACTTTACACTGCCTGAAAAATGTAAAAACCATTGGAGAGCTCTGAGAGAGTCTAATATTGATCAGACAGTTTTTATTCAAAACTGTTTGGAAGTAGTCTTATTTTTCAGAGAAACTGGCGCGGACTGCTTCTGGCCCGCGCTCTTGTGTGTGTGTGCATGTGTGTGTGCATGTGTGTGTGTGTGTGTGTGTGTGTGTGTGTGTGTATGTGTGGTTTTTTTTGTTTGCCGGCGCCAGAAGCAAGATGACGCGCCAATTCCTGTAGTGAACTTTCAAGTTTACTTTAAATGAAGAAGAAAAGAAAAAACATAAAGAAGAAAAAAGAAGAAGAAGGAAAAAAAATGCAGGAAAACATACTGAATGGAAATCACTTTGCCACAGGTTTGTCTGTTTTTTTTCTCCAAAAAAGAACATTTGTATTTCCATAAAAATCTCAGTCTCTTTTTTTGTGTTTGTTTTTCATATGAATGCAGCTTTTATATCTTTTTCACATTGATTTGAATTTTTCTCTACCCACCCCATCCTTTGTCGCCTCCCTCCCTCCCTGAAACCCTCCCGGAAAACAGATCCAAATGAGGTCACATGCAAAACAAAAAAACAAAAAAAGAATAAGAAAAAAAAAAACACAAAAAGAAAGAAAAATCATAAAAGTCCAAAAAAGCTAAAAGTTCAAAAGTTCAGTAGGCGGCGAAGGAGGAGGAAGAGGAGGAGGAAGAGGAGGAGAACCAGGTTATGATCAGGTGAGCTCGGAAAGACATCAGAAAAAACAATGACGGGGGAGGAGGAGGACGATGACACTTTTTTTTTTTTTTGGTGGGGATTTTTTTTTTTTGTTTTTGTTTATAAAGTTTTTTTTGTTTGTTTGGACGCCACGGAGACATGCTAGGCAAACGATGAGCTAACAGGCATGGAGATGGGTTGTTCTAAAAGGGGGAAAGAAAAAACAGGGGAGAGGAGAGAGTTACACACAGAGAGCCAGAGCACCACACCACTACAGCATTACTTGTTTTTTTGTTGTAAAAAATCAGGAGAAACAACAACAACAACAACAAACAACAAACAAACAACAACAATGCAAACCGGCAGAACAGCAACACCACTCACTGAAAAATTTTTAGCTTTTGATTTTTTTCTTTTTTTTTTTTTTTTGAAATGACATAATGTTATAGGTCTACACTAACAGGCAACGACACACACTCACTCGTTCATACACAAATAACACAGAGCACCCAAAAGCTTTATCCATCACGTCCCAGATGGATTTTGTCATTTGGGAGAAAAATAGTCATATTTTTTCGGGAGAAGGGAGGGGAGGCTTTTCATTTCTGTCTTTTTTAACTTTTTAAAATGTCAAAAATCTTTGGAAGGGTTGGGGGTGGGTGGGGGGAGGGGCTACGAACAAACAAAGAAAAAAAACGCAAACACTCAAACAAAAAATAAAATAAAATAAAAAAATAAATAAATAAAAAAACGCGAGGAAAAAAAGGTGAAGTGAAGAAGTAGTCCCACTGACGGATGGAGGGAGGGAGAGAGCGGTGAGGAGAAGAGAGAGAAGTGGATGGATGGACGGCAAACGGATGGACAGCACAGAGAAGTGTGTGGCGGAGTCAAAATGACACAGGGAGGGCGGAGAGGGGGGGTTGCGGTTTTCGAATGGCGGCGGAGTGTGCTGTGATTGTGGTTTTTCTGCACTGAAAAAACATGGAAAACACCGGAGAACCCAAAATTCCACGAGACTTCTCCACAAGGGTCTACTTTAATGATGCTGTATACTTTATAGGAGTCCAATAACTTAACGATAGGCAATAAATAAAATCCTTTTTTTTTCATCTGAGGCAGTAAAAATGTTGTATAAAAATAGAACTGCTTTTTTTACAAATAAAATTTACAGGCCTGTGGCTTTCTGTACTTTGAGTTATTTTTTTAAATCTTTCAACAAACATCAAGTATTCTCAGTTACCACCTTAAACCCATAAACTCTTTTATTATTAGAATTATCATTATAGCCTTCATCAAATTCTGGATGTTGTTTTGAAAATGTTCTACACGCTGTAATATCCCTTTCACAACAAAGACCAATGTGATCTGACCCAGAAAAGTAGTTACTAATTATTTTTTCTTTCATCTTCTGAGAAATAAAAAACTGTTTTTTATTTTCACATAAATAATAAGACGTAGCTGGAGTGTGTTGTTGTCTTTTTTTTTATCTTCTTGTGGTGGTGGAGTGTAACTGTGACTATAATGTAAAGAGGCCACTAACGTTTTGCAGCCTTTGCTCCCGGGTTGCCAGCAGGCATAGAGAGGGTTTCGGAGAAGCAGCGGCGGCCTGCAACCAACACCGCGGAGGTCAAAGGTCGAAATGTGCATATCGGCGTGCGCGTCAAAAAAACGTGAACCCTTCGCCAGGCCTTGGGTTCACGAGAGAGAGAGGAAAAAAAAATAAAAAAATCATCATGGCTCCGTCTTTGTCTGTACCTCGGTTCTGACTGTAACTAGTCCTCAAAAATGTATAAATAATCACTGAGAAATCAAAAATTTTTTTTAAACAAACGTTAAAAAAAAGCTACCCAAGATAGCTACTTCCTTCCATTGTAAAAAAAAAAAAGAAAAAAAAAAAAAGAAAAAAAAATTGCACAAAGTAATGGCGGTAATGGAAGCGTTCATGTGTGTCAAAAAAAAAAAAATTGTAATAAATAATAATACTTGAAAGCTAACATAAAAATCTTCAAAAAAGCAAGAAAAACAAGAAAAAAATAACAAAAAAACAAGGCGTGTGTGTCTCCCTCAGGGTGGTTGTAGGTCGTCTCCCCCTCCCTCCCACATCCCTCCCTTCAACCCCCCACCCTCCCCCCCAGTCCCTGTGTAGAGAGGTCGTGGCTCGGTTTGCTGTTGTTTTTTTTTTTTTTTTTTTTTTTTTTCATTTTCACCTTTTTGTGGGGGGACTTACCCTAGCAGTGCTAACATGGGGAGCAGATAGACCCTAGTGCTAAGATCAGTACGGTTTGCTGTCGTTCTTGGAGCGCTTCAGCTGCACCTTCAGCCGCTTCATGCCGATCTGGAAGCCGTTCATGGCCTGGATGGCTGCCTGTGCCGACACTGGATTGTCGTAGCTGACGAAGCCTGCGGGGGCACCAGAGAAAAGTTAGTGGAGAAAAAAAGGGATGGAGAAGAAGCAAGAACATAGAAAACTGTTCCTTTCTTTAACTTGGCATAGAGCGCTCCAGGAACGACATTTTTCTGTAGGCCGATACGGAAGTAGCGTCGCTCTGGTTCCCTCGTCAAAAAGCCTGTGGGATTTTTCCATTGGATTATTGCAGAAAGTAAGCTCAGTGGCAAATAACTGTTTATGATACTTGCACGTTTTGTTAAGCAAGATAATCTTTCATGATTTTTGAAGCCTAAATAAAATCGCAAGAAATGAAAAGCTAATGTTAGGCAAACAAACTACACTAAAGTCACACTGTAAAGCCGTGTTTGGCGCAGCTTGGAGTGACGTCCTGTAGTCTTACTTAGCCACTTGTTAGCAACAGTCTTTTTTAAGGTACACAGAAGTTCATAAGTGGAGAATTTACTGACAAATTTTATGTTGTCGAACAAATCGTTAAAGTCTCCTAAGCTTGTGTTAACCACAGACCTTATTTCAAGCATCTAACCAAAAACCCATTAAAAAAACCATTGACTTTGAGTCGAGGGAACCATGAATGGTAAAATGCTATCCCATTTCCAGGTTATGGGACTCATTCATGGGGCACTCTATAAAAAACATTTTTCCAACTGGCAAAAAGTGCTTCAGGGATGACATTTTCTGCAGGCCAATGGAAGTTAGCGCCCCCCTGGCTCCCTCATCAAAAAGCCAATGGGATTTTTCCGTTGGATTTTGGATTATTGACGAAAATATGCTCTCTATCATAGAAAACAACGTAAAATTATCTTGAGCTTGTGTTACCCACAGACCTTATATCAGGCATCTAAGCAAAAACCCACTGACATCACAACGAGGGAGTCAGGAGCGCAAAAATGCTAACTCATTTCCGTGTTTTAGGATTAATTCCTTGGGCACTCTATCAAACTTGCAACAGGGAGCATTTTAAAACATTAAATTATTGTTGAACTAGTACAGATTCGATGGTATAATTTTAATTTAGAGTGTCTGCTATACCTACCTAATCACTAATGCTTGCAAGCTAGCTAGCTACATAGGGCTGTGTTCCCGCCATATTGGACAGACAATTATTACGCTAAGAGGCTTAACAGACCAAAAGATATACTTGGGTGGCTACATATGCTACAAAGCCATCATCTCCAGGAGTTACATCTTAATGAAATCCAAAATTAGCAATATTACAATGGATACAATGGGTTGACAAGGACTGTGAAAGCTGCTAACCTGTTAGCTAAAATAGCTAGCATGTAGGTTGCCCTCGCTAGCCTTTGAGGACAGCCTGCTTACTAACCTGTTGGCTAATATGGCTAGCAAGCAGCCTGTCCCCTGGCCATTAAGGAAAGCCTACTTGCTAACCTGTTGGTTAATATAACGAGCAAGCAATCTGCCCTTGCTAGCCGGTGATGACAGCCTGCTTGCTAACCTGTTGGCTAATACAGCTAGCAAAGCATGTAGAGACACAAGTGGGATAGTAAAAGCTGCTGACCTGTTAGCTAATATAGCTAGCAAGCAGACTGTACTTGCTAGCCTGTGACGACAGTTTGCTTGCTAACCTTTCAGCTAATATTGCCATCAAGCAGGCTGTCCTCTCTAGCCTCTAAGGAAAGCCTACTTGCTAACCTGTTGGCTAATGTGGCTAGCAAGCGGGCTGCTCTTGCTAACCTGTGGTTTAGACGACTGGTCGCCTCTATCTCACCAGTTGTAATTCTTATGTTAGCATCTCTCCTCACTGTTTCCTGTCTGACATTAAATATTCAGCTCTACAAGATGTTTTCATGCCTTTTCTCTTTGCTTTGTGCCATAAAGTTGAGCAGCATATCTCCCTCCACTCAATATAAAATACAGGTGGAACCGAAAAGCATCTGCACAATGTGTTTTTGTTTATTTACAGCAACTATACTCAATTCAAAATGAATGTGTAACAATAAGCCGAGTTAAAATACTATGAGAGGCTCCCTCACCATGTTTCTGTGTCTTGAGATCTGATTTATCTGGTTTACATCTACATTTAAACACACCCCTGGTAAATGATAAGAAAAGATTAAAATTTAATGACTCCCGAAGGAGAGCTCTGTTGTTGCATCAAGGAAATAATGAAAGAATAAGGCTAAGTAAAATGGAGTATACATAAAGCAAACAGGGGGTGCAGTGACAATTGAACACTATGAAGTCTAAAAATAACTACAGCGTAAAAACAGTAAAACTACAAACGGCTCCAAAAATATTACACCAACACCAACATTTTGACCAGCAGCTTCACAAAGGCCACTGCTGGTCAAAATGTCAAAATAAAGGTTTTGGAGCCGACAGTGAAGCCATGTTGTGTTTTATTTTTTCGCTGTCTCTCACAAAGTCATCTTTGTGCACACTTCACTTCCTCTCGTAATATCCGCAACCTCTAAAACTGACAGTAAACTCCTCGTCTCGCTTGTCTCACATCCATCCTCACGATCCATTTTTTCTCTGACAAGTATCACTGCTGTTTGTTTGTGTGCTGTTCCTTCCCTGGATCCATGCTTGATTTATTTCTGTTTCCCTGAGTTGTTACATGAGGAGTGGAGATGCATTATATTTAGGTTTTGTTGTCAACACGGACAAATGCTAGGCAGCAGGCACATGAAAGTCTGCGGTGCATCTCACCCTGGATATGAAGCTTTGTTCACGTCGGTCGGGGACAAATTTTAATACCCGGTGGGAAGGGGTCACTTGTCTCCATTCATGGCCAACAAGGCCTGTACCATTTTAACAGCTTTTATAAATGTGGCTGAGACAAGGTTTGATATCTCAGCCAAAATTCTGCCTGAATTTGAAGGACACAAGTGGTGTGTCCTCTGCAGCCCTCAACATCTCACAACACATTTTGAATACATCATTTGTTCCCTGGGGAATTCAATTGATCACTGTCTATGTCTGGAAATATCACAGGGAGATGCATGAAAATGTTCACCAGGTATTGGTAGAGGTCAAGTACGGAAGCCAAGAACGGCCATGCTCGAAATGTCTTTTAAATGCAATTATCTCAAGATAACAGAGACACTGTTTCTCATGATAATAAGTTCATTGATGTTGTTTTTCCAGAAAACACAGGGCTGATATCCCAAGATGAGGTAATTTATTAGAAGAAAACAACTTTTCAATAACAGTAAAGTCTGATTTGTACTTCTGTGTCAAATCAACGCTGTGCCAACGTTGACGTATAGCCTACACAGTAGCCTGAAGTGCACGTCCCTAGAACTGTAACTATACGTCACAGTGACACAGACCTCCTGTCTATTTCTGTAAGCTGAAACCATTTCCCTCAGTGGAAACAAAGCTTTTATTTACTTTAATTTCACAGATAAGAAACAATAAATTGTGAAGACAATAAAGCCTCCACAAAAATAGCATTTTAAGTCTCTCTGCTAGCCGCTAGGCTAATTTATACAATGTAAAATGCCATAGGCTTGTGCTAATAACGTTAGCATGTTGTATTTGTTTGGAAAACGTGTTTAGTATAAGACAGTTGTTTTGTCAGTGAACCTTGTGAGTTGTAATGGAGCTGAATTTTGTAACGTTACCTTTGTTAAATGTTGCTGTTGTCCTGGCTTCATATGAGGAGAGGAAAAGTCTGCTAGCTGCTAGGCTAATTTATACAATGTAAAATGCCATAGGCTTGTGCTAATAACATTAGCATGTTGTATTTGTGGGGAAAATGTGTCCAGATAAAGACAAGTGTTTGTCTGTGAATGCTGCGAGTTATAGTGAAGCTGATTTGTGTACTTGTGTTTGACATTGTCTCTATTAAGCCATGTTTAATGTGTGTTTAATGTGTGTGTGTTTTTAACTTTACAGCACTTCACAGAAACCCCGCTGCCAACTAGTGTTTTGGAAGTGTAACTGCAGAGCGACACAGACACACTACCACAGAAGTATAACTGCTCACAGCAGCGTATACTCTGCATAGACACAAGTATAAATCTGCATAAGGGGGACAAATATCTGAGACAGTAATCTGAGTTGTGTTAGTTGTACTGAGTGTATGAGGAGGAGTTATTGATTACCAGAGGAATTTTCTAAAAATATATTAGTAGTGTTACTGAATTCTGCACCACAGAAAAATCCTGCAGAGGTTTCAGCCCCTGAACTGGGACCCAGCGAGTAAAGAAACAGATAAATGCAGGCATGTGTGTGTGTTCCTCTGATGCCTGCACTGCTGCCGTACCGAAGCACTTGCTAAGGTTTGTCTGTTTGTCGATGAAGACTTTGGCAGAGACCACGTTTCCAAAAGGCATGAACATCTGCAGTATGTCCTGGTCTCCAAACTCCTGGGGCAGGTGGTAGATGAACAGGTTGGCACCTTCGGGACCTGGCGGGACGAGATGCAGAGCGGGTGTGAGGTCACAGCGGATTTTCATTTGAGCAAAGAGGGAGCGCTCGCATTGTGGCAAGTGCTGTGCTGTCGTCATAGGAACGGAGCTGGAGCACACTGCTTAGCACAATATCTCATGACCTTGAGTTTGTTATTGCTTTTAAACAACATTCTCCAATTGTATTTAACATTAAACAAAGATGAGTGCTTTCGGTTTTCATTTAATAACAATATTTTCGCTGTCCATGAACAAAAGTACTTTTTCTGTTCTCTTGCTTTTGATTCATTCATTCTTTCAGCAGCATGCCGTCTCTCTTAAGAGGGGTCAGAGGTCACCCCCCGTCCTTCTATCGCACGTCCTAATCCTAATAGGTCACATCTCTCCGAATCATCAAATATGCTCTCGGCTGCTAAATGAAGCTGGGAGGGAGCCACATATCTGTCACATCTTTGTCTCCCTGGAGGGTTTTGAACTCCTGGATGGACTGTCAAAGAAAGAAAGCATCTTTACAAATGGATCTTTGTTAGTAGCAGAGATGAGAAGTGGACAAACAAACATGGCTGTATTTGTTTTACGAGACATTTCATCATCTGCTTTGTATTCAGCGGCCGTGTTGAAAGCTTTTGGGAACATTTTACTTCAGTCGCCAGGTTCTGTATGAAGGTAGCACTTTGCAACAGCACTGATGTGCAGTCTGATCAAATTTAGATTTATTTTTTCCACAATATAATAAAATTATCTATAAAAATCAGCAACAAAAATACTTAGAGGTGTTATTAAACACAACTGTATCAGAAGGACTCCTTTACTTATTCATACTTACTGTACATTTTACATTTTGTGCGACTAAAGTAACATCATGTGGATTCAAAATAAAACTGGAAGTAATTGTGAACCCTATTTTTTGGGGAAATGTTTGGTTGATTTTATGGCTGAAATACAGGCATAAAAATTGCTTTGATCCAGGTATATTTACACAAATGTCTTCTGTAAAAGGGTATTAGAGCAGAGGTTATACTGCTTTGAATACATGTAAAAGCCCAACAAGGGACAAGAGTTGAAAATTAGAAATAACTATAAACTCTCTGTGCAACACATCAGTCCCATATGATGTCCCTGTCAGATAAAAACAAATAAAATAAAACAAATAAAATATATAAAATTCAGATATCTATACGGTATGTGTTTAAGATATGAGAGCACATTATTTTCAGGACTGAAAAAAAAAATCAGCAAATTTATGTGTTTAGTTTTTAAATGATTAAAAAAAAAAAGGTTAAAATTGGATAAACACACAAAGTCCCCAATTTCAGCAAAAGCCTTCCATAGATAAGTGTTTTTTCTACGTAATTATAAGCTCATTTGCGTTTTTTATCTTCTAATAATTTCCAATTACTACATACATTTTCTAAGTGGTTCTCGTCAAAACAAGTTAATTAGAAAATGTTCAATAAAATACGTCTTTTTGCAGCAGGAAACAACTTTAAATCCAGGTGATTTGGGGCCCTGAATCCATTTGAATTTAAAAAGTATTTGTTTATAGATGTATTGTACAAAAAAAACAATCACTCGTACACTGACTTTGACGGATTGTTTGGATCTTTTTAAGTGGGGTTATATGAGGTACTTGTCCATAGTCAGTGTATTACCTGTAATGGTGGTCGGCATTCTCCCAGTTTGGAGAAGCAGACAGGAGTACCGTCACAGACATAGGTGTAGAGACATGTCCCCCCTCGTGAAATACTCTCAACATCGTGTACTTTTAAACTGTTATAGATTTAGATTTAGATAGAAAGTTTGTTTGCCCCCTAAGTGCGGACCGAGACCAGACTCGGAACGAACTCTGGTGCGGTTGGTTTGTGGTGAGAAACTGGGGGTGTGCTGACTGACATTTACTGTATATAATACACTCTCTGAATAAGCACCCATACAACCCCACTTCAAAAAAATTCAATCAATCTCTTTAAGGGGATCAGTTCATGGCATTTTACCAAGATAATTCACCACTACAGTTACTACTTTTAATAAGAAGATCACTCTAGATTTCAGCTGAGAGTTTAAACGTCTCATGCTGTCTCTTTGCTGCTCTACAGAGTAGATCTTTCTGCTCTGAAATCTAACTCCCACTGAGCCCGAGTGATGTGCAGACAGACAGCCGTAGGCTACTGACCCTCCTTCTGGCTGCCGGCGGCCCCTTGCTGCTGCAGCAGGGACTGGCTGTAGAGGGTGGGCAGCGCTGCGGCGGCGTACTGCTGGATCCCTGAGTAAGCCTGCGTCAGCGCGTCCATGGTGCCCGCCGTCCCGTTGGTAAGCCCTGCGCCGCCCAGGCCTCCGTTTAGAGCCGCCATACCTGAGAGCATTTGAGCAACTTTACATAAAACCCAACAATAAAGAAAGAAGAGTGCACTTACTCATTAGCGCTCCCATTGAAGGTTGTGTTTTTACCACACACACTAACACACACACACACACACACACACAAAAAACACACAACTGTTACTGAACATCACACATACACACACTGACGTCCACACACTGACGTTCACACACGTCACGTCACACAGAAAGACACATCGATACTGTGACGACACACGAAACACAACAGCTAACACAGGACACACACACACTATTAGTTTAATACAGTTAAGTACAGTATGGGCGTAGCTGATGACAGCCAGAGCTGCACACAGGTGTTCTCCAAATCAGAAGCACGCAGCGACGCATGCACGCACACAAAAACACACTAAGACATAGTAGTTAACACAAAACACCAAGACATGATGTAAAACACCAGAATGATGACATGAAAACACTTTGAAACCCACGAGCAGGGGCGTAGCTGGAACGCAGGGACACCTAAAGGGGCTCATTCCCCCTGTTGGCCCCCTTTTGATCCTTAAAGAGTCCTGTTGGAGCTTTTGTTTCCCAAATCAATACTTTTAAATTCTAAATTGATCAACCAAACCCAACAAGGATGATCTAAGGAAAAGATGCTATCCATTTGCATCATGGGTAGTGTAGTAGCCTCCATTTCCTGAGGAAGAAGCACAATAAAAAGGACCTTGAAAGAAAATGACAGAAATCTGAAATGTTGTTGGACACTGGTCTGAGCTGGGTATCGTGCTACGTTATGATTGGCCAGTCTGCGTCTGGAGGCGGGACTTAGCAAAGGGTCAATTAAGTGTGATGAGCTGTTTTATTTGTTGTGTTTATGATGCTATTGTGTAGATTTGTATGTACAATGCGATGTGTGTGGACCCCTGGAAGAATAGCCAGTGCTTATTCTGTTGGGCCAATGGAGGTCCTAATAAAGAAGAAAGGAAGTAACTGATCGAGGCAGCGATAGACCAACAACTCTCGTGTTCTGCGAGGTAAAATTACTGTTTTTGTCAGTGGAGTCTGGTGCTTTTGAAGAGAGGATAGATGGATATAACAGCTTCAGTCTCCCACTGAAAATATTCTCAATATAGCATACACTTAAACTGAAAATAATCTTTTTAGGAAGCTAAGATACATTTGGTTGCTGCCCCCGTCCACAGCAGTACATCGCTTGGCGGCACTCCTGCCTGCTTCTCCAAACTGTAAGCACACTGTACTGTATACCTTCAGTCTCTTAAGTGGGCGTGGTCGTCTCTCCGCCGCATGTCCCCTACCTCGTTTGGAAGTTTACTAGACGTATTGTGGACTCAAAACAATTCACCACCATATACAGCACAAATTTAATGTTTGTTACTTATTTTGCAGCTCGTTTTTATCTGCTAGCTTAATGTCCGACATCAACCAAGTGTAAGATCACGTCAGTTGTCGCAAGGTCTCGCGAGAATACGTTGCTAAAACAGAAGCCCTTTTTAGATAGGAACTGTGTAAATTTGCAGGAAAGCCCAATCAGTTTTTTTTTCAGCATTGGCAGTATAAACACAAAATCGGGGAGTGCAGCAAAATGCCGCCTACCTACTGTTGTTCATACAGAATGCGACTTTTTCGGGGCAATGGGGGGCGTGAGCAAGTAACAAAACGTGTAGCTCAGCGTGTGACGTAAACAGTGACATGGGAGGGAAGCCGCGGCTGGTCAGTGCTTCGGTGATTCTCTCGTAAGTCGGCCCGTTCTTCACCGTCCCCGTCACCTGACGGTTAATGGCCTCTTCGTTTGCGAGGGCAAGGAGGGCGCACAATTCCTTGTCTCCCCAGTTGCTCATCTTTACAGTGTCTGTCAGGTTTGTGTTTCCCTCTTGCTACTAGCTGCTCGCTAATTCCTGCTATCAGCTGTTTCCTGTTTATCCACCGCCAGTGGGTCACACGTGCTGCATCATCAACAGCTCCTCCCACAAGTCATCAACATCCCCTCCCGTGGCGGAAGGGCCCCTTGTTCTTTTTAGACCAAAAAGGGTTCCGCCAATATGTCTACCCTACGAGACGGAAAATAGGGCACCTCGGATCAACTCGCCAATCCGGCTCTGTGCGTCTCGAACAAAGTTAATTTTCTCCTGATTTGTGTGTCGGAAAAAATGCTATTTCAGTGTCAGAACATCTACAAGGGTTGGCACGTATGAAAAATGGGTCCAATATATACTTCGTCCTATATATAATGACTATGGGGCGAAGGGAACGGTCATAACCTGAACTCACATTCACTTCTCCCGTTGGAATGAATGCAGTCAGGACCGCTGCTAGTTTCCTAAAGGGGCGGGGAAGTGGCGAAACCCACGTGACGCAGATACAGGAAATGAATCCAAAGAGGGCCGTCTTAGTTTATCAACAATCTCTTACCTCAAAAAGTCGTAACTGTACCTTTAACTTTAGCAATATTGAATTAATGCACCTAACAAAACCTTGAAAGCTCAAAAAGAGATTAGTTTTATTTTGCCGTTTGTTATAATGCTTTATGTGAAGGACAGCTTTTTTGCAAAATAATCTATGGTGGTGATTTATCCTCCGAAACAACAGGTGAATTTTTCAAGACAACCTAATAAAATGACACAGAAAGCCTGACGTTTAATGGTTAGTATTGATATGTGAAATCCCATAATGGTCCGTCTTCATGAAACACCAACAGAACACATGAACATCAACAGCGAGGTGTGATGTGATGTGCTTTTCCAGCCCGTGAAGTCTCACTTTAGGGGCGAAGACGGGCACGTGGAGCACGGCGGCGGCAGCAGGGAGGGCAGTGGGGGAGTCTGGTTTAAAAAGTGAAGGAACGTAGCAGTAACACTCATTAGCTGCTTGTAACGGCTTAATATCACGGCGGAGGGCAACTTGTCTGAGGGGGTCTGACATTGGCTCGGCGTCCTGTCGCCTCACCGTCAGACACAGTGAAATAAATTATCACCGCAGAGCTCCGGATTATAGGTCACTCATTTATTCAGGAATAATTGCACCAGTGACCTTTGCAATTCAATTAAGGCCTAGATGTGTTTAAATGAGGGTGGTTGGTGGTGGTGGCAGAGGGGGGGTGGATGGATGAGGAGGGGGCACAATGTGGAGAGAGGGGTTAGCCAGGACAAAATGGGATGCAAAACGAAAGCGACCCGTTCTGTTTGAAAGGACGAGCATTTGTGTGTGTGTGTGTGTGTGTGTGCACATGTTCAGTGTTTCTGTACCTGTGTGCGCTCGAGTAGACGCGTATATGATTTACACAGCGGATACAGCTACTCCAGCCGAGGACCGGTAAAGGTCAGAGGAGAATAATGTGGTGGAAGAGGCCGCTAGTACAGGATCTCTGCTGTAATAACAGCTCTGATTAAGATCCCAGCCCCGTCTCCCCAGAGGTCAAAGGCAGGACACACAGCGCACAGCTCGCCAGGCGCTGCTAGACCACACAGATACAACTCACATGAGGATAGAAATGTCTATCTGCTCTGGTTCACAGCGAACACTGAAGTAAATCCTGCCTTTTAGCACAAAACTAACACTCATGATCGTTTTTATATCTTCTCAACAAGAGCAAAGCTTTTGGAAGGAAAATGATTTTTATTTATTTTTCAGTGTTGCTTGAAAATGTTATCTTCTGTATCATTACTTTGTATTTTTGTCATGGAAATAGCCATGTTTGGTACTTTTGGGTGGAAAACTTGTCAAAGTTTGTATTTCTGGCATAAAACAGGGAACGTATTGTAAAACATTTTTTTAGCTAAATTAGTCACATTTTGTATTTTTGGAATAGATATGGCAACGTTTAGTAAATTTTAGGGAGTAAAATTAGCAAATGTATTTCTGGCATAAAAATTGATCAATTTTGTGATTTTTTGTACACAATATAAGACACAAACATTTCATATTTTTTAGAATGAATATGGCCATGTTTGGTACTTTTGGGAAAGAGAAATTGTCAAATGTTGTGGCTCTGGCAGAAAACTGACACATTTTGTATTTTTTTATCTTTTGGATGGATATGGAACTGTTTGGTACACTTCGGGGAAGAACATTTTTTCGACGCAAAATATTTGTATTTGTATTTCTGGCATAAAAATGTGCAAATATTGTATTTTTTGGATATGAATTTAGACACATTTTGTATTTCTGACCATGTTTGGTACATTTTGGGAAGACAATTTGCCAAATGTTGTAGTTCTGGCATTAAAACTTACAAATTTTTTAATTTTTTAAAAACATGAAATTATTCACATTTTGTATTTTTGAAATGGAAATGGCCATGTTTGGTACTTTTTAGGAGGAAAACTTGTCAAATGATGTAGTTCTGGCATATAAACTGACATATTTGTATTTTCTGATACACATTTAATCACATTTTGTATTTTTTAGATGGAAATGGCCATGTTGAATATGTTTTTGGAAGAAAATTTGTCAAATGCTGTATTTCTAGCTGTATAAAAATTGACAAATTTTGTACGTTTTGGACTTGAAATTGGCCTCATTTCACATTTTTGGAGGGGATATGACAATGTTTGGTACATTTTGGGAAGAAAATCTGTCAAATGTTGAATTTCTGGCATAAAAATGTACAAATTTTGTAAAAGAAAAAAATGTATTTTTTGAGTGGCATTTTGTATTTTTGAAATGGAAATGGCCATGTTTGGTTCTTTTTAGGAAGAAAACTTCTCAAATGTGGTTCTGGCATAAAACTTGACAAATTTTGTAATTTTTTGGACATGAAATTAGACACATTTATATTTTTGGAATTGATTTAACAATGTTTGGTACTTTTGGGGAAGAAAAATTGTCAAATGTTGTATTTCTGGCATATAAATTGACAAATTTTGTCATTTTTTTGGACATGGAAATTTGGGATGGAAATGATCATGTTCGGTATTTTTGGGGAAGAAAATGGTCAAATGCAATTCTTGCATAAAAATGACACATTTAGTATTTTTGGACAAGAAATTAGTCACATTTGACATATTTGTATTTTTTTCTATTCGTATGTTTTAGACAAGAACTGTCAAATGTAGTTTTTGGCATCAAAGTGGCAACGTTTTATATGAATTAGGATTTTTGGTATGTAATCGATCAAATTTTGTCATTTTAGCATAAAACGTGTGACATTTGTGATTTTTTTGCAGGAAAATGTGTCAAATTTAATATTTGGGGTGAGAACTCTGACATTTTGACATGAAAACGATAAAACTGTATTTTTGTTTGAGGACAAGAAAACTGTCCCATGTACACAACAGTAAATGTCTACAAAATTTGTGGTTTTAGTCCCCCAAACTACAAAGCTAACCCTCTAATGTTTAAAGCCCTTGTAGAGTTGACAGAAAACACAACAATGACACAACAAAACAACAGGATGTCAAACAGCTACAACATGGTCCCACAGACAGAAAGAGAGACAGCCCCGCGAGGTGACAGCAGCACGCCAACTCTGCCGGGATGGCACACCAGCACTCTTACAGCAAGCATAACCCAGGACACAACCAGGAAGCGGATGGAGAGATGGAGGAATGGATGGATGAATGGGTGAAATATCTGCGGCCCGGATGAATCAATGAGGTAGCTGGCATTGAGAGAGTGAGAACAATTTACCGTCGAGTGAAACTGAGACGCAGAGAGACGACAGGAGGAACTGAACTCTAAATACATTACCTCTTGTTATCTCTGATCTTTTCTTCTGTTTTATTATTCTATCTTTATCTTATTGAATGTTTCATTGTTGTAAAATATGGACACAACTTTATCATCTAAAATGGAGTACATGATTTTAGACATTACACTCTGCACAGCCATTGACATTAGAGTTGGACAACTGCTTTTATAGTCAGCCTTTGTTTATGATGATGATATTAAATGTAGCATTTATTTTTCTTTTTGGTACAAATTTTGCAGGATTTATTTAAAAAAATATATTTTAGTTTTAGTTTTAGTTTTAATGTTGCGTTTAGTGACAAATCTTCTCCTTTTCTTTAAATTTGTCAAAATAAGAGATTAAATGTTAGAAGCTTAGAGAATAAATCATACTCAGCTGCCATCAAACTCTAATGTAACGCTGTGGCACTGCGTCTCTCTGCATCGGCTCACAGCTCGTGGTCGCGACGTCGCCGATGGGTGTGGATGGTCGGAAGCGGAGGTGTAGGTGAAGGTGGAGTGGCTGATGGCTGGGTGAATACTCACTGTTGACGCTACCTGCTAGTGCATTAATGTTGTTCAGGCCCACAGTTGCGCCTGCCAGGCCCTGCAGGGTGCCCAGAGAGGTCAGAGAGTTCATGGCGCCGGCGTTGGAGCTGGCTGTGGTGCCCGCCGCTGCGGGAAGAGATGGGTCGGAAGGGGAGGGAGGAGGGTAGGAAGGGAGGGAGAAGAAGGAGGATGGAAAGGGCAGCAGAGGAAGAGAATGAAAGGAGAAAGGAGGGATAAGGACGGAGGTGAAGAGGGAGAGTAGAAGACAAAGAAGCAGACGTGTTATACAAGCTTCAACAAGGTTCCTCATGTAGAGGTGAAGGATTTCTTATTGAACACATTTTAAAAACTCAGCTTTTTTTTATAGTTTGTACAGAAGGTGCAACAAGTACAATTTAACATCATTCGGAATGTTGTAACTGCAAACAACTGAAACCACTGCAGAGAAGACTGGCTGCCTCTACATGTAGACCTCAATGGAGGAGATGATGTTTTCAATGCTTTGTCAGCAGGGTGATGGAAATTGGTGAAAAGTGTGTTAGTGATTAGGATTGTGGCCACTTGGAACAAATTTTAGAAATACTCCTAACTTAAGTTTCTTGGATTTCTAGGTTGATGATGAATCAATAAAGTCCACTGAACAGATTTCCCACCATTTCTTTTGGAGGACTCTTAAATTTTCAGCACTTCTCCTTCAAGTTTCGTCCAAAACTGACCAAATTTGGACCAAATTATGTCCAGTAATTCCAAAAAAAAAAAGAAAAAATATGGATTTGATTCCTTCAATTAGATTCCAAATTGTTGAAAGCATCGCCATGACAGTGCAACTAACTTTAGAGGACAACTGCACATATTATATTAAGTTCTTCTTTAGGCGTGCTGCAGCAGCACGATACAGTTTAATATCTGTTACTCCGTGGTCATGAGTTCCACTCATTAAAACAAACATGTTTTCTCATGAAGATCTAAATCTCATCTGCCAGAAGAAAATGTTGGCATTATATGTTTCTGCAAACTACAACTACGTTACATTTTCATACGTATCATATCAAGGTTGCTAAAGTGACGTATTGCATGACCTGACTTTGTCATCAGGCGGTGGAGGGGATGGAGGATAGCGTAGCACCTGCCAAGCTACAGACCACTGTTTGAGACCAACTTACAACAAATTTGGCTGTAAGTTAGCGAGTCATTGCTGTGTTTCCAGTTGCTTTTCTAAGTACCAAACCCTAAGTGTTTTGTTGCGACCTGTGGTTGTTTTTCTCGCAGGGATACTAGCATGAAAAGCGATTAAATTCTACATAGGCAACACTGCATTTCCTGCCCGGATAGTTGCACAAAAAGCGGCTGCTCTTTTACCGAGGCATTGCCGTGTTTCCTGCTGCGATAATGGCATGAAAAGCAGTTGTTTTCTACAGATATCACTGCATTTCCTGTTGGCCGAAACATCACCACCTTTCTTGCCAGGAAAGTGGCATGAAAAGCACTTGTTTTTTTTCGAGACATCGCTGTGTTTCCTGCTGGTATTGTGGCATAAAAAGTCGCTGTTTTTTGCCTGCGATATTGTTGCGTTTCTTGCTGGGATAGTGGCATGAAAAGTGGTTGTTTTCTACCGAGACATTGCCGTGTTTCCCGCGGAGATAACTGCATGAAAAGTGGTTGTTTTCTACCGAGACATCACTAAATTTCCTGCTGGGATTTCCTGGAGGAAAAGCATTTTTTTTTTACAGAGACATCCCCACATTTCCTCCCAGGACAGTGGCATGAAAAGCAGTTGTTTTTTTAACCGAGACATCATCGTGTTTACCGCTTGTATCGTGACATGAAATGCTGCTGTTTTTACTGCATTTCCTGTCAGAATCACGGCACGAAGAGCAGCTGTTTTTTAACCATGACACTGCTGCTTTTTCTGCGAGTTTTGTTCCTCCAAAACCAAGTATTTTAATCCACAACGTGATCTTTTCCAAACCAAAACCAAGTCCTTAACATTTAACATCAGTGTTATCAAAACACAAAGTTTCAATGTATCTGCTACATAATAATGTCCCAGTATAAAGTATTCATTGTTTGCAGGAACATACAATAGCGACATTTCTTCTGGTGATTGGGTTGTTAAATTCAGGCGCAGATTAAAACTATTTTATTATTCAAATGCAACAATGCAAAACTAAACTGCAGCCTTGGCAGAGGTTAGTTTCCAAGACTTGTCCCATTTATTAGGAAGGATTTGCAATGGGGCGCTATTCTTCCAGTGGCAGTAGAGCTACAGCCTTTTGATGATGAAGATGAATGCTTGAAGGCCGGTTAAGAAATCACTTTACAATATGCTCATCATTGAAATAGAACCAGGGTAAATGGAGAATACTAGGAACATCTCCCTGATAAGCAGAGCTGGAGTTCAAGGGAAATGTGATCTCGAGGCAACCAACTGTCTCCGCAGTGATCTGGTTCCAGCTGATTTTAATGGTACGCTGATGTTTAAAACTATTGAAAGTAGCACCTTTAATTAATTTAACAAGTTGCAGCACCTTGACCCTACATACCAAAACATGTGCAAAATTACATGATGAAAACACATGTACGGTTTGAAAGAAGAAGCTGTGCGGTTTGCTTTAAACAGGAGATATTCACAAAAGCAGGTAGATTGGTGGATTGCTGCGTTTAAAGTGATGCTGTAATTGCATTAAAAAAACACAAGGACATTCCAAAAAATGCAGACACATGTACAGAAAGGCGAGAGCACAATCAGAAGGAGAGGAGACTTTTTGTGCTTACTAGTCAACTTTCCGAAACGTCTCTAATTGTGGATCTTTTCAAATTCTTCCCATTTACAAAAGAAATAAACTGTTCCTCAAGCACAGTTGGTTTTACATCACGTTGTCACTGACACCAAAACACACACAAGTCAACACAGTGGACACAAACTCACGCACACATACACCTGGACGCACACCGATGTGAAATGTGTGCCATACACCAGCTGCTGTGTCAGTGGCGGTGGGTGAGATGGCAGGAAGTATGGTGCACAAAGCTCGCAGCCTTGTTCTGTTTTCTGACAAAGGAAGATTTAATCTATTCGTTTACCCTTGATGTCATCAAAGCGATGCCAACAAAGCAGGAGTGCCGCTAAATACGCTAAGAAATGGTGTGATAAAAGAGCATTATGTCGGCACATGGTGCAAAACAAAAAAATAAATGCTGGCCTGTCTCCATGCAGAACTGTCTATATTTATCAAACGGGCGTGACGTTTTTCACTTTCATTGACACATGCAGTATAGCGCCGCTCATTCACACTGAGGAGCTCAACCTGAGTGTGTACTATTCAAGGTTGGACTGACATTCAGTCAGAAAGGGAGAAAGAGAGGCTGGAATAAAAGAGGAGCATGGAGAGAGTGAGTGAGGAAAGGAAGACGAGACAAGAGCGGACATTCACGCCAACCGGCTCGGTGAAGGCAGGAAGTGGGATGGAAGCGGCGCAAGCGTTAACGTGAAGGAGGAAGAAGAGAGGGGGGGTGAGGGTGACGGGGGGGAGTAGCTTTTCATATTCATGCTCTGTTGGGAGTGTGCTCCAAAAGAGACAGCAAAACCACGGCTGCTGGAGCGAGGCCGAGCCGACATGAAAGGGGAGAATGATGGAGCAGAAACAGGGAGCTTGTCAAAAGGAGGGCAGCAGCAAAAGACGAGGGCAACGAGAAGGAACACAAGGAGAGGAGAGGAGGAGGAGGGAGAGGATGAGGCAGTGTGGGGGAAAAAAGGAGAGGATCTGAAGGTGGCCATATTTAACCTGAGCCGAGTTCACACATCAGCCTGCTGGTTTTTAACCCCCCCCCTCCACCCCAACCCACCCCGCCATGAGCAGAGACACAACACCAACACACACACACACAGGTGCAAACATGGATGGATTACTGAATGGGACGACCGGGCACAGGCCCAGGGGCCCAAGCTATCAGGGGCCCCTCCCCAGCCTTCACCTGCAAAATGTCTCTTGAAGAGACATCAACTAGGAGACTCAAAAGAAAGACACAAAATAACTACAAAGACACACACAACAACCAAAAAACCCCCCAAATAACCATAAAAAGGGGCAAAACAACCACAAAGAGACACAAAATGGCCAAAAGTGACACAAAATGACTTAAAAAAGACACAAAATTACCTCTAAGGCACACATAACAACTTCAGGTGAAGCAAAATGACATCAAAGAGACATAAAAAGATTACAAAGAGACATGAAATGGCCAAAAAAGACACAAAATTACTTCAAAGAGACACAAAATAACTACAAGGACACACAAACCCACCCAAAAAGACACAAAAGTAACTCATAAAGACACAAAATGACATCAAAGAGACACAAAAAGATTACAAAGAGACACAAAATAACTACAAGGGCACACAAATCCACCCATAACGACACAAAATGACATCAAGGGGACACAAAACAAGCAAAAAAGACACAAAAAGACTACAAAGAGACACAAAATAACTACAAGGGCACACAAATCCACCCATAACGACACAAAATGACATCAAGGAGACACAAAACAAGCAAAAAAGACACAAAAAGACTATAAAGAGACACAAAAAGACACAAAGAGATGCAAAACAAGCAAAAAGACACAAAAAGACTACAAAGAGACACAAAGAGACGCAAAACAAGCAAAAAAGACACAAAAAGACTACAAAGAGACGCAAAATAACCAAAAAAAGACAAAGACTACAAAGAGATGCAAAATAACCAATAAAAAGACACAAAAAGACTACAGAGACACAAAATAACCAAAAAAGACACAAAAAGACTACAAAGAGACACAAAACAAGCAAAAAAGACACAAAAAGACGACAAAGAGACGCCAAATAACCAAAAAAAGACAAAAAGACTACAGAGATGCAAAATAACAAAAAAAAAGACACAAAAAGACTACAAAGAGACGCAAAACAAGCAAAAAATACACAAAAAGACTACAAAGAGACACAAAACAAGCAAAAAAGACACAAAAAGACTACAAAGAGACGCAAAATAACCAAAAAAAGACAAAAAGACTACAAAGAGACACAAAATAACCAAAAAAAGACAAAAAGACTACAGAGATGCAAAATAACAAAAAAAAAGAGACAGAAAAAGACTACAAAGAGACACAAAACAAGCAAAAAAGACACAAAAAGACTACAAAGAGACACAAAATAACCAAAAGAACACAAAAAGACTACAAAGAGACACAAAATAACCAAAAAAGACACAAAAAGACTACAAAGAGACACAAAATAACTACAAAAACACTCAAAATTCTATCAAAGACATATAAATTGACATCAAAGAGAAACAATATTACGTCCAAGAGACACAAACATAACATCTATGAAGAGATGTAAAGAGACAACAACAAAGAGGCAAAGCCACCACAGAGTGTGTGTGTCTTGCTCCTGCGTAGGAGAGGTTGTGGGGCCTTTTGCGTATCTGTGCCCAGGGGCCCATTGTCTCATAATCCGCCCATGGGTACAAACAAACCGTGAGCGCAGGACAAAACAACATCTACCGTCCTAAAGTTCCTACGTGGGTCTCCAGAGCTGGTGAAGTTAGGCACAAACACAGAAGTCACTCCAAATACAACACACAGATCTGAACCTGACGGAAAGCACAGAACACACAGACATGCACACGCGCACACATATACAGTGCGTGTATCACGGGATGGCGTGGCTGCTGGAGGTGAGGTGTTCAAAGACAGGAGGACGCAGAGCATCAACAACACAGCATGGTTTCTCAGTTAAGATGGAGGTCTGAGAAGCGGAGACGGTGGGTACACACACCATGGGAATGTGCCAGAAACAACACTGACGGAGGTCTGAACAATGAAGATGGTCATGTGTCGGCAACGGTGACTGGTTGATGGTTTCAGTGATGGCGGTGGAGTGCCGGGGTTCATGGGGCGACAACACTGGTAATGGTAACGGTGGAGAGCGGAGGACGTAGGCAGGCGTTGGCCCCCCCCACCCCGGCGTCGGACCCCCCGACCTGAGTGGTGTTACCTGGGCTGGCCAACGCTCCCAGGGAGGCGGCGTTGGTGGACAGGGGGTTTGCGGTGGAGGGACTGGCCGAGTTTTGGGCCGCCGCCGCTGCCGCTGCTAAAGTGGCCAGGTTCTGCAACTGCAGAGCACTCATACCTGGAGAGAGGAGCCAGAGAGGGTGGTGTCAAACCTGGGGAGCGAGGCTGAGGCGAGGCTGGGTCGCCTGGCTGGACCGGGACAGTGCACCAGAGGACAGGACTGAACACGAGTTAGCTGCCTGGTGTCCGCAGGTGAACAGGAACAACAGTGGAGTGTGTGGGCACACTGCTGCGCTGTGTTTATGTAATCCTTGTGTTTCCTGCTCTATCTTTGGCATCTCTGTGAAGAGTCTGCAGTGTGTGAAGACAAACTACAGCAGCTGATTTTGCTAATAAGTCCCAGATGTGCTGGAATGAGTAAAAGCAGCTGCTGCAGTGTTTAGGTTTGGTGCATTTCTCTGAGGCAGAGCTGCTCTGGAGGCACAAATAATCTCATTGATTTAGTTAAACTTATATTTTTCTGTCGGAGGAAAGCTCAGCGGAGGAGCCTCGAAAAATACAAGAAGAAAAATAAAATTCCTGGTCTGGTTATTCAGGCGTTTTTGCCAATTATATCACTTGAGATTCAACCAGAGCTTCTTCTATGTTCAGCTAAGTTGTGCTCGTATCAACAAAAGTCAAAATCGACATATTCATAATACTGGATTGTGATAAGAGCCTGACTGATACGGGACTTCTGAGGCAGGTATTAAAATTCTAGAAATTTTAAAAGGTTTCTTATCAACATCTGTCGGGGTAACAGTTGAACATTAGCATCTCAGGCTAACAGGCTAATATTGATTGATTTATTTTCCATCTGGATGCCTTCTGAACACGACCCTGGTCAGATAAACTAAAGTTGACAGTGAATCGTGAACACACTCATTCCTCCGAGATGCATCACACTGTGCCACAGGAAGTCAGCAAACTTTTCTGCTCCTCCCTCAGTGTCCAACACTCTCAATAGACTTGAGTCAATAGACTAGATGCTCCCATCCCATTTATTGATTATTTACATTTTCAACTGTGCAATACCGAATTAACCGAACTAATTTGTGCATTTCAATTCTTGGCATTTTTATTTTTATAATGGAACACATTTTTTTGTGTTTTTATTTATAATAGATTCAATTTCTCAGTATTTTAAACATAGATTCAAATTCTCTGTATTTTTTGTTTTTTTAACATTTTTTTATTCTTGGCATTTTCTTGGCAGATTCCAAGTCTTTTTAAATCTATAATTTTGCATTTTTATTCATAATAGATTCCAATTCTTGGAATTTCGAAATGTATAATATATCCAATTTTTCTGCACCTTAATTTTTAATAGATTCCAGTTCTTGGACATTTTTATTTCTATAATAGATTCTTATTCTTGGCATTTATTATTATTATTTCTTTTAACAGATTGCAATACTTGGAATTTTAAATGTTAAAATAGATCCAATTTCTCTGCATTTTTATTTTCTTAATAGATTCTTGGCATTTTCATTCATAATAGATTCCAATTCTCAGCAATCTTCATTTTTAGTTATAATACATTCTAATTCTCAGTATTTTTTATTTTATTATAGATCACGATTCTTGACATTTTTATTTTTTAAAATAGGTCCCATTTTGCACCATTTTATTTGTTTCGTTGTTTTTATTTGTTTTGTTTTTTAAATAAATTATACAGTGTCTCAAATTTTTATTCCATTCTCGGCATTTTCATTTTCATAATAAAGCCCATTTATCTGCATTTTTATTTTTTATTACACTGTGGTTATATAGCATATCATAGTATGATGCATAATTATTTTTCTATCTTCGTCCTCTATACTCTGTGTTATATACCACAGCATAATGCACACATTATTATTATTTTTAACACTTCTTATGTTTCCATATCTCTTACAGTTTCTTCATGTGTATATAAGAGGAACATATGAAGCTGTTGATATCAGTCAGGCTCTGGTCACAGTGACTTTTAGCTTTCCGCTCCACATTAAACAGTGCCTGATCCAGCAGCAGTCACACAGCAGCTGAAGACACCTGCAGGCTGAACTCTCCTCATCGTTAATCCGCTCGCTGGTGTTAACATACAGGCCTGGACTTAAACATAATTAATGCCAACACCCAGATGATGGTGAAGCAAAGGCTATAAAACACCTTCTGTGAGTACAACTACACCTTCCACCTTACTGCTTCAATGTGTGTGTGTTTATGCAGCTGTGTGTATGTGTGTGTGTGTGTGTGTGTGTGTGTGTGTGTGTGTGAAGATGATGAGGCGAATCCTCATAAAGCAGAAACAGAAGCTTGTTAGAGTTAAAGGGTGGACACTGTCAATGTGAGGTGTATGTGTCGTATATACAGTCTGGGTGTATATACAGTACCATGGAAATACACACACACACACACACACACACACACACACACACTCACACACACACTCACACAGACACACACGCTCAAACACACACACGCACACACACACAAATAGACACACACAAACAAGACACCATGAAGAAGATCCATCTTGTCTGACACCGTGGTGGATGGTTTGACGTCGTAACACCCAGACAGAGATATCCTTCACCCAGACAACCCAAACTGAACGCAGCCAATGACAACAGATGGCTGGATGCATCACCAGGATCCACAGCTCTGATTGGTTCATTAAATATATATGTAAAAAAAAAAAAAAAAAAAAAAAAAAAAAAAGGCCACTGCCAGTTTCTGTTGTTTCTCCGAGGTTGTCGTGATGACTACGTGTGTGTGCGATGTTTTGTTTTTTCTTACTCGTCCGTGCTTACTTAGGAGCGCGTCGGCGCCAAAGCCAATCTGGTTTTCAGAGCGATTTTCCCCAATTTTCTGCGATACATCAAAAGCTAAAATGGATTTCTATTTCCACGCACAGATCGGAGTTGTTTCTCTCACACTCTGTTCGACGCATGCTCGAAACCTCGCACTAATTCAGACTGGTTTGTTTTCTTTAAAATGCACGGCAGGAGCGGGACGAGAGGCCGACTCAGTGTGCCTGGCTCATGCAGACGCATCCTCGGCCCTACAGAGAGGAGAAGGCTGTTTCTAAGAGCTCTTCTTCATGGCTCTTTATTACAGTATAAAAGAGTGTTTTTATTTCACTGGCCTTTTCCCCCTCGCTGGGTTTGGAAAGAGGCCGATAGCACCGGTTTGACCACAGAGATTCAGGGGAAATACCTCGTCACTGTGTTTATATTGTCAACAAACAGTCACTGTAGCATCCTAGGGCCGCTCTGTTTCCTCTCCTGTCCTTTCCTGTCCCGTCATTTCCTCTTGTCCTTTCTTTTCCTTTCATTTCCTGTAATTTCCTTTCCTGTCCCGTCATTTCCTGTCCTTCCTTTTCCTTTCTTCTCCTGTCATTCCCTTTCCTTTCCTTTAATTTCCTTTCCTGTCTTGGCCTTTCCTTTCCTGACCTGTCCTTTCCTTTCCTGTCTTGTCCTTTCTTTTCCTTTCCTCTCCTATAATTTCCTTTCCTTTCCTGTCCCGTCATTTCCTGTCCTTCCTTTTCCTTTCCTGTCCTTTCCTTTCTTCTCCTGTCATTCCCTTTCCTTTCCTTTCCTTTCCCTTCCTTTCCTTTCCTTTCCTTTCCTTTCTTTGCCTGACCTGTCCTCTCCTTTCCTGTCTTGTCCTTTCTTTTCCTGACCTGTCCTGTCCTTTCCTTTCTTTGCCTGACCTGTCCTCTCCTTTCCTGTCCTGTCCTTTCCTTTCCTGTCCTGTCCTTTCCTTTCCTGACCTGTCCTTTCTTTTCCTCTCCGGCCCTTTCCCTTCCTTTCCGGTCTTGTTCTGTCCCCCTCTTTCCTTTCCTTTTTCTTTCCTCTCTTGTCCTGTCTTGTCCTTTCCTTTCCTCTCCTGTAATTTCCATTCTTCCCTTTACTCTGTTCTCCCTTCCCCCCTTTCCTTTCCTTTCCTTCTTTTTTGTCTTTTTCCTTTATCTTTCCTTGTTTCTCCCACCATCCTGCCTGCCCCTTCTCTTATTCCATGTCCTCTTTCCTTACCTTACCTGTCCTACCTTTCATTGTCCTTCCTCTACCTTTCCATTTCCTTTCCTCCCTTCCTTTGTATACAACTTCCATGCCTGATTCCTCCTTATTTCCTTTCCTTTGTCTCCTTGAATTTTTGATGTTTTCCTTCACTCCAATTTCCCCATTTTCTAACTGCCTCATTTTTTCTATTCCTTTTCCTCTCCTTTCTTTCCTTCCCTTTTCGTTTCCCTTATTCCATTTCCCCTTTCCTTACTTCCTTACTACTTTCTCTTACCTTCCTGCCCCTCTTCCTCCTCCTGTGTCCTTACCTGCCCTTCTCTTCCACTTTCCTTTGACCTTTCATTTCCTTCACTGTCTTTTCTCTCGTCTTTTGTTGTTTCTTTTCCATTTGTTTAATTTGCCCGTCCCTCCGTCCTCTACACATATCTTTCCTGCCTGATTCCTTATTTCTTTCTCTTTATTCCATGTCCTCTCCTTTGCCTCTTTGCATTTTTGATCTGTTTTTCTTTCATTCCAATTTCCCATATCTTTCCTCCTCCTTTTCTATTTCTCATCCTCTCCTTTCCTTACCCCCTTCTTTTCCAATCCTGTCTGTCCTTGCTGTTTCCAATTTCTTCCCTTCTTCTCCCGTCTCCTTTTCCCCATTTCCTCGTTCCCTTCCTTTCCAGTCTTGCCTTGAAATTGTCTTTCTTCTCATCTATGTTCCTGCCATTTTCCTCTTCCTGTGCCCTTTCCTGTCCTTTTCTACGTCCTTACCTTTCTTTTGTCCTTTTATTTCCTTCCTTCAGTTCCATTCTCTTCTTTTCTGTTTCTTTTTCCTCTTTTTAATTTTGCCTTTTCCCCTTTTTTATCTCCTCCATATATTTGTTTCCTGTTCTTTCCTCCTCTTCCTTTTCTGTTTTTTCCCCCATCCTCTCCTTTGCTTTGGGGCCCTTTTCATCTTCCTCCTTCCCCTTGCCTTTCACTTCCCCCCTTCCTATCACCTACTTCCTTCCCTTTTCCGATTTGTTTCCTTTCCGTTCTTTTTCTGTTTTTATTTTCATTTCCTTCACTATTTTGTCTTAATTCTGTTCCCTCCCTTCCTCTATACACATCTCTCGTGCTTAATTCCTCCTTATTTCCTTCTCATTATACAGTTTCCTCTCGTTTGCCTCTTTGCATTTTTGATCTGTTTTTCCTTCACTCCAGTTTTCCTTATTTTGAGCGCCTGTCCTTCCTCTTTCTCTATTTCTTTTCCTCTCCCTCTTTCTTTTCCCAATCCTGTCTGCCCTTTCAGTTCCCAATTTCTTTCCTTCCTTTCCCCTCTCCTTTGCCATTTCCTCTTCCCCTTCCTTTCCAGTCCTGCCTTTTCAATCTTCTTTCTTCTTTCTTCTCATCCATTTTCCTCTTCCTGTCCTTTTCTACTACTTTCCATTTATTGTCCTTTCATTCCCTTCCTTCCTTTATTTCCATTGTCCTCTTTCCTGTTTATTTTACCTTTCTTTAATTTTTCTTTCCCCATTTTTAATTTCCTCCATTTAATTTTCTCTTCTTCCTTTCCTGTTTTATCTTCAATTTCCTCTCCTTTGCTTTTGGGCCTTTTTCCTCTTCTCCCTTCTTTTCCTTTTCCGACACTGTCTTTTCATTTCCCTTTCCCGATTTTCATTTCCTGGCTTTCTATTCCGATTTCCTTCCTGTTTCCCATTCTGTTTCCATTTGCTTCATCCTTTTCATTTTCATTTCACTATTTTTTTTATTTATTCCATTTCCTCCCTTCCTTTATACACGTCTAATTCTCTTTCATTTCCTTCTCTTTATTTTCTTTCCTTTACTTTGCCTCCCTGCATTTTTGTTTTCCTCTATTCCAGTTTCCAATATTTTCACTGCCCCTCTTTCTTTTCCCAGTCCTGCCTTCTCTCCTTCTCCTTTACTTCTCTTTTCACCTTTCATTTCTTTTCCTCCTGTCCAATCTCCAATTTCTTACTTGCAGTTTCCTTCCTCTTTTCCCTTTTTTCTTTTCCTCTCCTTCCTCCTCTGTCTTCTCATCACCTCTCTTTCTTGTCGGTCGTTGCCTGATGACAAAGACGACTCCACGGCGGCTCTACTTCTCTCTCTGCCACCTCTCTTTTTTCTCGTCTTCTCAAAGCTGCTCCTCCCTTATTCTTCCGTGCATTTGTCAGGTTATCTCCCTCATTGAACGTACATTTTGAAGACAGTCGTACGCACACAGGGAGCGGGCGAGATGTAAAAATAACTGGGTTAGAGGGGAATAAAGTCGAGATGAAGCCGTACGCACAGAGAAGGCAAAGAAAGAGAGACAGTATGAGACAAATACAATCTACTTCCCACATCAGAGTCGGAGTATCCGGGCTGCGCAGATGGTACACGAGTGTGTGAGCGACTGTGAGCACATATGTGTGCGAGGATGCATGTGTGTATGTGTGCGCTCCATGCAGGCTGTATGGCAGCGCTGGGCTGCACCAGGCTGGCGTTGGCTGCGTCTAATTGAATGCTCATTGGTGTAATTGAAGCCTCTCAGCTCTGCAGCTCCTCATGTTAAAGACTGGGACCAGATGTCATTCAGCTGTGTCACATCTCCTGCCAATCACTAATGCTCACTCCCTCTCTCCGTCTCTCTCCCTCGCGCGCAGATGGAGGACCAACAGATCTCCAGATTCAGACACCGTTACTCGCCCTCGCTTCCAAATCCCAGAGCCTATTTATCCGCGCGAGTGTGTGTGTTTGTAAGGAAATGTGTGTTTGAGCTCGACAGCAGAGTGAGCAAAAATTTAAATCAGCCACAGGGAAATTGCGAGGCATTGTAACTCCAGGGAACACGACAGAAAAACCGGAGGATGCAACACGGGCGCTCGCCACTTTAAAAAAAAACCTCCCATCACACTCAGATAGTGTTATTGTGTCTTGGCAATTTCCTTATCCTGTTTTCCCCGCGTCAACTGACTAAACAGCGTACAATTAAGAGCTGACACCTTCCTAAGAAACTCACAGAAGGGTAGAGGAAGAAGAAGAGAAGGAGGGCAGAACAGACAGAGTGCGAAGGCTGCAGGGAGGCGGAAAAGGTGAGATGAAGAAACTGTGAGTGAAGAGGGTGGGAGGTGCAAGAGTCTCTGCAAGAAAAAAAAGAGGCTTAAAATAAATAGAAAGGGAGGAGAGGAGAGTTTAATGGAAAGAGGAGAAGTCGGAGATGATGGGAGAGAGTATCCACGGGTCCCCGAAAGTCTTAAATAACCTAAATTTAAAGCCCTAAAAAATTATATTTCTCAAAGACAGAGATTTTATCTCCTTCAACATTTAATAGGAGGCTTCTTGGCACGCTCACGGCTCAGATTAATACAGAACTGGGTTAATACAATATGCATTTTTTATTGCATCAGCTTCACTTATGAGAATTGGACTGTCCCTCACCACTTTATTTCCTATTTCTTTTTGTCTTTTTTCTTATTCGACCCTTTTAGAGTTTGGAAACTTTCAGTGGCTACATCCGTTGTAAAAATAGGCTGATTTTATTAGCTTTATTTCTTCATTTCCCCTCTTTAAATCGGCTTCAAACTCAATTCTTGTTGCATTAAAATGGCTATAACAGGCTTAAATTTGCACCTGCAGATACTCTTGAAAAGGGAATATGGGAGTGCAGATGACAGAGAGAAAGAAGAGACCCTCCACAGGAAGAGAGCAGTAGATGGCGCCAGCCTGCAGTGCAAGATCTCCACCAAACGAGCCCACTTTTAACCATTTCCCCCCCTCCCTTTTCTCTTCCTCTTCCCCTTCCCCCCCTTTTGTTCTGCGATTCATCCATCCCCAGCAAAGCCTCGGTGCTACTGTTACACGCCCAGGGCACAACTCTTGTCTGGCCTCATTAAAAGATCAAGACAATTCTTAGCAACAGTTAATAAATCTTCAGGGCAAAGATCTCTCTTTACTCCACCACGCGAGTTCATCTGTTATGCTCTTTGGTCCTCTTTTAGAAGTCTGTGAAACAAAAAAGAGGCACAACAAAGAGTCGGCTGCCGTCGTGGATCGTGGTTACGGGAGAGTTTATCAAGTGATTTTCGACTCACCGGCCATCTGCTGGATCCCGCTGAAGGCTCCGAGGTTACCGGAGGAGGTTGCCTGCTGAAGCAACTGATGGGGGAGAAAAGAAAGACAGACAGAGAGAGGAGAGGAGAGACAGGAAAAAAGAAGAAGAGGGAGAAACAAAGTGAGCTGCACGGATCCAGGAAGCTTAATACATGTCAATACAATGCAACAGCGAGAAGCTAAACTCGTAATGAGCGGTTTAGCAGTGTGGTTTTTGCCTCAGCGCTCGATGAGTAAATGAGCTGCTAATATAGTTTGATCTCTCCTCTAAGCAAACACTGTTTGTATTCCGCCATGATTCTTCCAGACAAGTTGAGCATGAAAGCTCTAATCTAGCCGACTAATTAGATTCCAAAACAAAAGTGGAATACTGATGCTGTCAAAAACTCATCCTTCAAAGACTTGAATTAACAGCAAATTAACATCTTGTTTCTATTGTGTGTGCGATTTTTTCTCCCCCCCCCCCCCCCCCCCTCTAGAATAAAGCGTTTCAAAAGAGTGAAAAAGAGGATTGAAAGAGCAGAAAAATCTGGGAGCCCAATTCACAAAACACTTTTTTGTTCACTAAAATAAATCAATATCCAGTAAAGGTGGGATGTCTGCCTGACAGGTGTTAATGGCTCTTTGATCAAACAAGTTGAGAGTCAAATCTCCAGACTTTACACGTGTATTTTAAAGAGGGAGAGTTTGGGGTTGTTAATTTGGAAACTGAAGAGCAATGAGTCAAGGGTGAGTGCCGAGACTTTCTCTGAGAAGAGTCCTAAGCGCGAGGCTCTGAAAAGGCACAGGACTGCAGAGACTGAGAGAGAATGAGGCTTCTGAACCCGACTTTAGAAACCCAACAAATCCCCCAATCAAACAAATCAACCGATGAGGGACTTAGATGCTGTGCAGCCGAGCCTCCACTGCAGGGTTTCTCAAATTGGGGATCAGTGGACTCCCAGGGGTTCAAGGCTGTCCCCTGACACATAACTTCTTTGTTTAATCCCACAAAAGTCAGAAGAATTTAACACAATTAGTAAATATAGTGGAACATTCACAGAAAGTGGGCCTCACTCTCAAATACTGTTTGTTTTGTCCCTGTCCTGTGAAACCATCGATTTCTGAAATGTCACTTTTTCATGAACTAAGAACAACAGGGTAACACCTCACTTGAAGGTATCTACATAAGAGTGACATGACACTGTCATAACTATGACATAACACGGTCATGAACCTGTCATGAACATTATGTACATGTCATAAACGTTTATGACGGCTGTCATTAAGTGTCATTCAGTTTTTGTAATGACAAGTTGACATTAATCAAAGTGACATTACCAGAAGTTGTCTTTGTCATGACAAGTTGACATTAAATTTGTTTGGGATGTCCTTATTATGACAACTTGACATTAACCAGGATGACATTACAAGAAGATGTCTTTATGTTAATGTCAAGCTGTCATTACAAGGACATCCCAAACAAATTTAATGTCAACTTGTCATGACAAAGACATCTTCTGGTAATGTCACTTTGATTAATGTCAACTTGTCATAATCAAGACAACCCAAACAATGTCAACTTGTCATTACAAAAACTGAATGACACTTGATGACAGCAGTCATAAAGGTTTATGACATGTACATAATGTTTATGACAAGTTCACAACAGTGTCATGTCATAATTATGACGGCTATCATTAAGTGTCATTCGGTTTTTGTAATGACAAGTTGACATTAAATTTGTTTGGGATGTCCTTATAATGGCAACTTGACATTAACCAGGATGACATTACCAGAAGATGTCTTTATGTTAATGTCAAGTTGTCATAATCAAGACAACCCAAAAAATGTCAACTTGTCATTACAAAAACGAATGACACTTAATGAGAGCAGTCATAAACGTTTATGACATGTCATTAACATTTATTACAAGTTCATGACAGTGTCATGTCATAGTTATGACAGCTGTCATTAAGTGTCATTCCGTTTTTGTAATGACAAGTTGACATTAATCAAAGTGACATTACCAGAAGTTGTCTTTGTCATGACAACTTGACATTAAATTTGTTTGGGATGTCCTTATTATGACAACTTGACATTAACCAGGATGACATTACCAGAAGATGACTTTATGTTAATGTCAAGTTGTCATTACAAGGACATCCCAAACAAATTTAATGACAAAGACAACTTATGACAATATCACTTTGGTTAATGTCAAGTTGTCATAATCAAGACCACCCAAACAATGTCAACTTGTCATTACAAAAAACAAATGACACTTAATGACAGCAGTCATAGACGTTTATGACGTACGTAATGTTTATGACAAGTTCACGACAGTGTCATGTCATAGTTATGACAATGTCATGTCACCCTTATGTAGACACCTTCAAGTAAAGTGTTATCAAAAACAGATATTTTGAGCTTTATTACAAGACATTTTTCTTATTCTAACAGTTTTTGTATGATTTGTTTTGCTCAAAGGAATATTTTAAGTGCAAAATAACTCTTTGTAAATCAGTAACTCTCCGCACGTTACGCTAAATTTGTGAAGAAATCACGTTTCTTGCATGGTGAACGAAGAATCCAAAAAAGGGAAAAAAAGTAAACGCAACACATTCTCACTCCAACCTTGTCACATATTGACGCTTGGTCAGTGGGCTTTCACATCTACATATTATGTGCTAGGGTTTTTGGGTGCGTCTGTTGTTGACGGGACGCTGTGTCAATTTAGATCCATCCATTGTCTGGTGGTGTTTCGAACTGATGCCATCCAGTGGCGTTATTAACTGATGCCAGTTATGAATATGGGCTACAGGGGTGGCATGTCACATGACTGGATGTTTAAGACCATCGCCATCTTGATATCTAGAAGCCAGGGTTGACTAATTTTGGATGAGAGGGTGGAGCCGCTGAGGAGCTGTGATGGCTTTTTCAGCCCCAGACGTTACCCCTTGGTGCTCAGGCATGCTCAGGGGCACTTCTCATAGGTCAGTGTGTTCTATATGGTAATGTTTTAGCAAAAATGCATGTGTTTCAGCAGTACTGAGCATAGGACTGGATAAATGAGACTTGGATTATACTGCACAAGTTGTGTTATAGTTTGTAGACGGATGTTTTGATATAGTTTTGCTGTTGTTAAACGCAGACCCTGCTGACTTAGATTCATTAAGAATGTTCACTGTTTTTGGATTCTTCGTTCACCAGAGAGGCATGTGAGAAGTACAGAGAGTTGTTGCATAGAGATGATACACCGTCTCATCTAGTTGCATTGGTGTGAACCGACAGGTTTTTACAACGTTGCAGAACGATGCATTGCACAAGAAGTCGCCTGTTTCAACTCGTCTCGTTGTGAATCTTTGGTCTGAACTGGACTTAAGTCTATGAACATTTTTTAAGTTTGGAGCTATTTTATTTAAACCCAAATATACAATATTTCCTAACGTTGCTATCCTCGTTCATTCTTTGGTTAAATCTCGTATTGATTATTCCAAATCTGTCCTCTTTGGTCTTCCTCTCAAATATCTTCATAAACTCCAGATGGTCCAGAATTCAGCCACCCATATCATCACCAGAACTCCCTCCATCGATCACATGCGCCTCACCTTTAAGCCTCTTCCTACCTGTCTGAACTCTGTCATATCTACACCCTGCTGTACTCTCATGCCTGGTTCACACTACACGACATTTCTGCCTATTCCTACAGTCACTTCGTCAGATTAGGTGATTGTGGAGTCATAAAATCGTGCCGTGACTTGGCCGACAGACATGACACACTACACGATGGTCCACTTCCACATATGTCAGCCGAAATGTTATTGTAGTAACGTAACAGTGCCACCAGATGGCAGGAGCTACATTTGAAGCACCGTGTGCAAACATTCTCGCTACTGTATCCTCCACAACAAGTTCCTGCAAATGTTTCACAATAAAAGCCTATTTAGAAAATGAAGGGATTCTCTCAGCTGAGGTTATAAGGGTCTTTTAATTTGAAACAGGTACAGGAAGCGTTGAGTTTGAAATGACAGCACGATGAATTAACTTTATCAAGGCAAACGGGGCGGATAAAAAGTAAAAATATAAAAACACGGAGGGATTAATAAATAACATAGTCTGTTTCAAATTAAGCTGGTAGCCTCTGCTGTTATGTCATGTTAAGTAATTTTCTTACTTTATATCCTCCATTATGAAGAAGTGACATTGTTTGCTAGCTTGATGCTAATGGCAGCACTCACCAGGTTGATAAAGTGCCTCTGCTGTTTCACACCATCATTTTCCCTTTTACTCTGTGTGGTAACATCCGTACAGAAAATATCAAAAACCCTGGGGTGTTGTTGTCGTACAGTTGTCGACGGCAGCAGCTAACTCTGTGTTCCTATTGGTCAAAGTGACAGCTGTGACGGGAGAAGTCGTGAGCGAAACATGCCAGACTTTCTGTCGGGATGTCGTGAGCCGTCCCAGACGTAGTGTCGGCTGTCGTCTTCTATGACACACAACACGAGATGAAACGATGGATTATCGCGTACGACACTCATTGTCGTTCACGATCTGAGCCGGCACCGTGCGATGCTGCGTCCGGCTATAATCAGGCTGATGTCGTGTAGCGTGAACTCAGCATTAGATCCTGTTCTGCAATCCAACTCACATCACCATCTGCCTGTTTGACTACCGTGGGGTTTCTCCAGGTACCTCTAGAACTCTCTCCCCAATGACATTTGCAGTATTGACTTCCTTTCCACTTTCAAATCCTGTCTGAGAACGCATCTTTTCAAGCTACCTAATATTTATAATTAGTGATTTCGTCTCGTCATTCTATTGACCTATTATTGTATATTATGGAATTGTTAGATTTTATGATTCATATATACATTGCTGCTTGTTTTGTTTTTTTTAGCTGCGTCTTGTCAGGTGTCCTTGAGTGCTTTGAAAGGCGCCTATAAATAAACTGCATTGTTATTATTATTATCATAACCTTGGTGACATTACACTCCTTTTATAATGCATCCATGTAGCACATAGAGGTGATTTCTGGGAGACAGGGTTGGGTAAAGATAACAAAACAGATAATTCTTTGCAATCACGATTTTCAAAAATCCTCCTATATGTTAGTTTGCATGGAGAGTTGTCTTGCAGTAGAGGAGGCTGCGTCTGTGTGTTTTTTCTGCTGTTAAATTTTGGAGATATTGAACACACAGTATATTATTGGCTCCCAGCAGCCTCTGTTCAGAGACCTCATTTCCTTGCCGCGCTACAGTCCCAGGAGGAGGACAGAGGAGAGGGCTGAAGGAGGAATTACAGAACAAAAGAAAGAGCGGAGGAAGAGACAGGAGGCCAGTGAGAGCATGTGGGGGTTTTTCAGGTTGGGTGTTTTCGATTGGGGCACTGACTGCGGCGGCGTCGGCCATGGGGCTGTAGTAAGGGGTGGTGGAGGAGGTGGTGATGGTGGAGGTGGGCGACGCGGCGGCTCTCCTTACAGCCAGATACTGCGGGGTGAGGCCACCCAGGCCCGTCAGGCTCCCCCAGGTGGTCGCACTGTTGAGCTGCTGCATCTGCTGCGCCAGCTGCTGCTGCAGACGCCGCTGCTCCTTGTCCTTCTGCGTGTCGGCGAACTTCACCACGATGGGAGACGAGCAGCCCTGCAGGGGGAGGAAGAGGAGAGGAGAGGAGAGGAGAGGAGAGAAGAGAGAAGAGAGGAGAGGACAGAAATGGAAAAACAAGTGAAGAAGAAGAGTAAAGATAAAAAGAATGGAAGGGGGAAAGGGGAGCAAACGAAACAGGTCAGGAAAGAAGAGAAGAAATAGAAGAGAAAAGGAGAAGGATAAAAGGGTAGATAAGAGAGGATAGGAGAGGAAAGGAGGAGAATAGAGGAGGAGACAAGAGAGGACAGGAAAGAAGGGAAAAGGGGACATGAGGGGAAAAAGAAAGAAGAGGGGAAGAGAACAGATGAAAGAGGAGAGGAAAAGAGAAACAAGTGAAAAGGTGAGGTGAAAGGAAAAAAGGAGAGGAAACGGGATAAAGGAGGCAAGATGGAGGAAAGGACAGATGATGAAAAGAGGAGGAGAGGAAAAAGGAAAGGTGAGAGGGGAAAGAAAAAAACAAGACGAGAATAAGTGGAAGAAGAGCGAAGATGAGCGGAAAAAAGAAACAAAAAGAAAAGAAGAGGTAAATAAAAAGGAAGAGGAAAAGGGAAAGGACAAGAGGTGAGAAAAGGAGAGATAAAAGGAAAAGAGAGGAGAACAAAAAAGGAGAGGCGAATGGATAAAAGTAACAAGGAGAGGAGACAAGATGGCGGAAAAAGAACCGAGGAGAAAGAAAAGGAAGGGGATGAAAGAAAAGGAAGGTGAAAAAATAAGATGAGAAGAAGAAGAAGATGAGAGGAGAGAAGGTGACGAGGAAAGGGAGGAGAAAACAAAGAAAAAGGAAAGTTGAAAAGTGAGGAGAGAAGGAGAGAGAAGAAGAGACAAAAGATAATTATGGAACCAGGTTTGTACTGTAACAGTGAGAACAGGTAGAAACACCTCAACATTAAAATGATTAATACACTAAATGCACTTAATAAAGGCACGACACACACAAACACACACACACACACACACACAAACTCAGCGACACGGGACACACACACATGCGCAGAGTCACACAGGAAACTTGACTCTAAAGCCAGTGGGCTTTCTTCTTTCCCCCACAAGGGCTCAGTTATCTCTGAGTCCAGAACGGTTTCACCAGAAACAGATTTCTTGAGTTCTCCAACTATTTCATCATCTCATATGAAGAGAGACTTGATGTGTGCGCGTTACCGTGTGTGTATTAGTGTGTGTAAGACGGCGGCGGTGTGTGTGTGTGTGTGTGGAAAAGGGCCGAGAGGGATTGATTGGGATGACCAGCGAGCGAGGTGGAGAGGGCAAGAGGAAGATTTAGAGATCTGGACAATCAGACGGAGTGAATGTAATTGTCCAGATTTCTATTCCTCAGAGCTGCAGCGTGTGTGAGAGCATGTGTGTGTGTGTGTGTGAGACAAATGAAGTGTCACACACGGAGAAGGAGAAAAGAAAAAACTCAAAACACAACGCTCCTGATGAAAGTCGCCGCGACGGCTGAAACAGAGCGAAGCTGAAACGGTAAGTCATAATCTATCACACCACACCATTACTCACACGCTGCAATCAAAGCCTAACTGGGGGCAAATCCGTTGGAAACAAAGGCAATGTGCCACGGGGGAATAAAAACCTTTTGATTGAAACATTTAGTTTGAGGCACGATCCGCACTCGGCGGGGGAGAGAAGGGATTTGGCTACTTTGCAGATAGCGCGGCACACAGTCGGAGCCGAGATATAGTATGTCAAGTGTGTGTAACCCAGTGTGTGTGTGCAGGTACAGGTACATGTATGAGACAGTGGATCACTACTGTAAAACGTCAATTTAGTAAAATCCACTTGACTTTTAGCATTAAATCGAAGCAGTTACACAACTTCAAACAGCTTTGTACAACTTAAGTGATGAGCAGAAACTTTGTTAGCTCATTCTTCCCAGCATGCACTGGGCTGCAAATCCGACACACTATACTGCTGTACACACTCAGACAAATCCTCCTTTTAATGTATGTATATAGGGCTCATTGCAGACTCTCGTGCCTCAGATCTCGCTCCCTTTTCTTATTATATTTGTTCATTTCTGTTGCACACACATCCCTTTTTTTCTGTATGTATATAACACTGTATTTAATTCATTCGAATTCATTGTATCTCACATCTTATTGTCACATTGTCTTATCTTTATTGTGCTTTTATTTCTGAGCTGACAGCTTCTCTTGTCTCTCGTCCCTGTGTTAACCGACATTAACTCTCAGGAATCCTTTTTTTCTTCTGCTTGTTTTGTGCCTGTCTAAGACGCCACTAATCATTATTTTCATGACAAATTCATCTATCTATTACTGTTTTTTCGATTAACTAATTAACAATCTCAGTTGTACGGTGGTGAAAACTGTGGGAAAATGGCCACTAAAAAGTTGCCAGAGGCCACTCTGGCAACTTCAGATTGTGTGTTTGTGCCCCTTGACAACACTCCAAACCCCTAGTAGTAAAATATTTGTTTACAATTGTAGGAAACACAGAAAAAAAGCAAATCGTCACGTGAGAAGCTTGAAGCAGCAAGATTTTAATATGCCAGGTAAATCACTAGATAGGCGTTTCCTTTCTGTTTAACGTGAATCATTGTGACTGGCATTTCCCTGAATCCATATTCCTAATTTTCCTGTTCATTATATCAACTAGCTGATGCTAAAAGCCTTTATGGTTTCTCTGTTACAATATCTGCACTTTCTGCTAAAATCTCAAACTTAATGTTCCTTTATGTTTTCTTTAGGCACAAAAAACATCTTGTTATGGTCAGTAAAATTTCATGTTGTGGCTTAAAACACCTGCTTTTGGTGGCACAATGGTGGCTGGAAATGCCGCACTATGTTGCTAAAAAGCATTTATTCATTAAAAATATATCATTAAAAACACCCACTTTTAGTGGCACAATCGCTGCTACAAATGCTGCAATTTTGGTAAAAAACACCTGCCTTCGGTGCCACAATCTCAGCTGGAAATGCTAAGATGTGGTGTTAAAAAACATCCGCTTTTGGTGGCACAATCACAGCTTGAAGTGCTGTAATGCATCACCATAAAACACCCGCTTTAGGTGGCACAGTGACTGCTAGAAATGCTGTGTTGCTGCTAAAAAACACCTGTCTTTGGTGCCACAATCACAGCTGGAAATACTAAGATGTAGTGTTAAAAAACTCCCGCTATTAGTGGCACAATGGTTGCTAGAAATGCTGTGATTTTGCTAAAGAACACCTGCCTTTGGTGCCACAATCGCAGCAGGAAATGCTAAGATGCGTCACTAAAAACACCCACTTTTAGTGGCACAATCACTGCTACAAATGCTGCAATTTTGGTAAAAAACACCTGCCTTCGGTGCCACAATCTCAGCTGGAAATGCTAAGATGTGGTATTAAAAAGCATCTGCTTATGGCGGTTTGCCATCCGCAGTGGCTGCTAGAAATGCTGTGATTCTGCTAAAAAACAACCTGCCTTTGGTGCCACAATCGCAGCTGGAAATGCTAAGATGTTGAGTTAAAAAATACGCGCTTTTGGTGGCACAATTACGGCCAGAAAAACTGCGATTTTGCTAAAAAAAACAACCTGGCTTTGGTGCCACAATTGTGGCTGGCAATGCTGCGATACATCACTAAAAAACGCTCACTTTTGTTGTCACAGTCGCAGCTGGAAATTCCAAGATGTGTCACTAAACAATACTCACTTTTGTTGTCACGATCACCGTGTGAAATACTGTGATGTTGTTAAATAGTACCTGCTGGAAATACCTTGCTGTATTGCTAAAAACACCCATCTTTGTTGCTGTTTTGGCAGCCATTTTGCCCAGGTGTCACGCCCCCCATCATGCCCTCCAACCCCTCCACCCTGCCCCCCCACACCCCGATCACAAAGTCAGCTCATACACTATGTCCCTTTAGAAATGTTGAAATACATATAAAAAACAAATATAATGTCTCCATGGTTTATAGAAACCTACAATGCCAACATTTTTGACTGTGCTAAAATGGCACACAGGTAGCAAAGACATGCCGTGACAATTTTAAAGCAGCCCAGTTAGTAAAATGTTGACTGGCAGCGACTTAATGTTTTACAGTGTACCTGTACACCTGTATGTGTGTTTCTCGGTGTGTGTGACCAGACAACCCTTCCTCTCTGGGCCGAGGCTCGACTTTATCAGCTGAATGAGCATGTCTCCTGCCTGACGGCGGCTCGGCCATATTTATTCCATCTCTCCACCAGTCATTTTCCCTCTTTATTCTGACCGCCGACAGATAAAGGAGAGGAGACGATGGGAGAATTGCATTCGGAGGGAGCGTGTCAGTCTGGGGCCTCGCCGCTGCAGTCGATTCCCCTTGAGACAGGAGCTCCCTATACCTCTCTGCTAAATATCTCATTACTCCAGCTGACACCCAGCGCGCGGGGGGAAATGCAGCCCAGAATGAGAGTCCTGCCCTGGGAGAGGGGCCGAGGGGGCCAGGGGCCTCTACGCTCGGTGCTGCCGGTTCTCCCTGAAGACCCGGCTGCACTTTAAAGTTTTCAGGCGATTGGCCGGTTGGTCAACTTTGCCCTTCATTGATGAAAACACGTGGAGGGAAAGTGGCATCTTATGCCATCTGTTGGATTCACTCACAGAAACAAATCATCATTGATTTTACCGTAGGGGGATTTTTAATAATTCATCATAGATTAGCAACAGCTTGAACTTTCATATCAAACACTGTGTGACTATAGTGCTAATCAGCCATGAGCAGGATGAAACAACATGTTGGTCCAGGCAAAACCATGTATTTACAAATTGTTATCACAGAAGACAAATGATTACACACTTCTTAAAGTTACATTACTCAATGTTTTCATGGCATCAAATCCCATTTTTTAGAACTATTTATGGTTGGTATGATTCCTGCTATGGCCATTCAACGTATTTACATTCTGTAATCATCTCTATTTGTAGTAGTTTTCATTGTTAGTGGCGGAGTACGCCAATCCTGTGCTGAATTCAATGGCCTTCATAAACACAAAGGATTCACAGG